AGAAGATTCCGTTATTGTTATGGTTTGGTCGGGCTTGTAAATATTCTCGACTGGCCGCGTTAGGTCACCCACAGCTCACAGCAATGAGTAGTAATTCAATCATACTGGATTTGTAATCGAGAAAAAAACCAACACAGTGGCGGGGTCGGGCAATACTATTTCGAGACGGGAAATGCCCGACTGAAAGTATGATAGAAGCACGAGTATCTATAAAATCGTTGCAAAGGCAATATCGTGTGCTTTAAATGATTGTATTCAAACAATTATTGGGGTGCCTAAAGTATTAAAATAACAGTTTGTTCTTCTTGACGTCGAGCTTTGCAGTAAACATCATTATTATCCAAACGAATTCCATTGCCGTCGGCAGCTTTTATACGGTAGATTTGTAATTTAATTCCCTTTGGCGAAACAAGTTTGTTTCACAACAAAACGGCGCGTCGATTCCTTTTACTTATAATTATTATTTCTCGAGTGTGTTTCAAAGTAAATACAGCCGGCGCTGACAACACTTCACCTCCTGCTCTATTGGCCTTTTAACATTTAGGCGCTTCCAACTCGACAAATAATACAATTATTATTGTTCTAAGCCTTTTACCGAACAGTCGATACCTATTATCTATTTAACGGCTGCGGGTCGTGTGTAGTTTTTTTTTGTAAAAGGTTAGATTAATTTCATTTGTTCATTCGATTGGTTAGGTTGGAAAATTACTAGTGACTGGTGAGTCGCCTCGCTGGCTTATCCATTACGTTAAGCTCTCCATGCGAATTATGGACTCTGTTATTGTCTTTTTTTTCTCTCTCTATTTTTGCCCGTCGTTATACAATACAGAATATTTATTTAATAGGATTTTCGTTGCATAAGTTTTGCACACTAGCGGCTCGCACGCCTATATCGGTGCTCATCCCGCCGCGTGCAGCAGCCGACACGGTTTGTTATGTTATTGTTTTTTTGTATTTTTTTTTTTTTTAAGCATCGCTTTAAATGCCCAAACGTTTGGCGCGTGACTCGCGTGCACAATCCGCGGTTGTTACAAAAATTTTAATATCCTTGTACAAGCTAGAAAAAGACACTCTACACGGCCCGCGGACACACCATTGTCTCGGCGGTCTATATTAACGAGTCGTATTTAACCGATATGCGACCTAAAAACTTTAAAAAAAACAGCGTTCGGCCTCTCTCTCCTGTCTCACAACACCAACATGTGTTGCTACCGCAAGTACAATAATTTAGGTCGTCGTCGAGAACGTTCCGGAACAAACAAATGGGAAAAATTTTAAAAGTTAAATGCAAGTTTAGATATGATATCTTTGTACGGACTGCGCGTCAATCTCACACATAATGACCCGACATCGGGTTTTGCGTCATTCGTTTTCAACGTGTAATTACGCGCGTTCTGCTAGTTTGCCAGCAAAAGCTTGCTTTCGACACGCGTGCACGCACATGGTAATCAACACTAACAGTCCGGATGAACCCACTTGCTGAACGAATGTGCCCGTTGGTCAATTCCCAAACGAGGAGATGGACCAAACGATCAATCAACGAGCCGGTGATCGATAACCTGGTCATTTGGGGGGTTCGTGTAGAACCAGGCTGTGCAGCTAACCTTGTATTTTCGATCGTCCAAAACCTTTATTCCCCAAAACTCTGCTTAGAGCAGCAGTACTCGTAATTAACGATCCGATTCGGATCGTCCGTCGATTGGTTTTTGCCAGAAACAGATGCCAAAAGTGCACGAGCGCTCATCTCAGTGGAAACGGCTGTGTGAAAACAAATTGTAAAATTGTCTCACTCGTCAAGTACCTATATGTATTTCTGACGTCTGAAGGTTTTTACCGACGGGAGGGGCGATTGGTGGCTTTGATGGCACAACATACAAGGAACGTTGGCGCTACGATGGTCATCAGTGAGTCAGGATGCGCGATGCTTGGAAGAAAGTGTCTGCCTCGTATCGACTGTTGGAGGAGACCTCGCCCTTGTTCGGGTTGTCGTCGTTGTGTGTGCCCACACCGGTTTTGGAGTCGCTCCCAAAGGACACGACAGGGTGCGTTAATGAATGCGACTGGCCGTGGATGCTGTGCATTCATTGTCTTATCACGCAATGAAACATGTCATGAGACAGTCGTGTATTATGTCCGATGGCTTTGCCGGCTCCAAAAACCGTCTATTATTCGTGTGTCGTTTCCATTGTGCTTACGCCCCCGAGTCCACGGAGACTGCGTCATCCGGGTCCATTTGTAAAACAATGTAGGTACACCGTTGGGCGTGCATTCGCATATTTTATTGTTATTACTACTATGATTGTAGTAGGTGCCGGCGTTGTTGACCATAATGCTGCTGCGCGACCGGTGTACGCCAAAAGCGACGGCAAGTTTCGTCGTTGCATTTGAATAATGTAACATTTGCGTTGCTACAAAGCCAGCATTAATTGTTATCTTGTCTCGTATCCTCCGTTCCGGCGTGCCGAGGTCGCCCCGGCCACAGATAGGTCGGCCGGGTATTTCGATACGCCGTCGTTGAATTATTAATTATCATTTGTGTTAATTAATTAGCGCGATCGCAATACCGTATGGGATTGTTATATATGCGCGGGCACGACCGGCGACGACGCCTCGGTGCTTAAAACGAAAATAATAATAGCAATAAAATATAATAATATATTCTGGATTGTACGCGCAAGGTCTTCCTCGATGCTTTGCTGCGACGCCAACACTATACTAGCTAAAGGCTGCGTGCCCAGAGATTAAAATATAGGACCGAGTAAAACGTCGGGGCTTTCGATTTTGGACAATGCCCGATGCCGACGGGTGTGGGTGCACATCGGCATACAATAAGCAAGACGTGCCCCTACAAGCGACTCGTATATACCCCTCAAAGTTATTTGCGAGGATACAAGCAACTGCAATTGAAGGTTTTGGACAACAATTAACAATAATAAAATAGTAAATGCTCCGATCTCGACTTTTAGGCACATTTGTTGTAACATGAAAACATATTTATTACAATCTCTAATGTCTTCTATTCAAACATCCTGATCGGGTTGCACAAGCGCTCGTTAGCCAACAAAAAAAGTCATATTAGGAGAAGCTTGTTACTAAACCCCTTTGAGTCTGATTCGATGAAAAAGAAAGTTAGGTTAAGTATCGAAGTGGTCCCGAGAAACCATCCAATTTACACGGGACATCTCTTTGATACGTCTCGACTCCTAACCTAATCTAATCTAACCTCATTTTTCATCGATTCAGACTCAAAACGGATTTAGTTAGATTGGGGCCTGCGCCAAACCCAACCTAACCGTTTTCCATTGAATCAGAGGGATAAGATTATGTTAGGTTAAGATCCTGACATTTTCTAAAATACAGTACAATGTATTAAATTTGAAAGTATATTGCGTTTGTACTTATAATTTGTATTTGACTACAATTTTAATATTTTTTTTTGAGCTTTGAAAAAGAAGTTGTTGCAAACAAGTGACAGAAATATTTTTACATACATAAAATAATTTATGCGTCATGCGTTACCTATGTAAACTAACGTCCCGTGACAAGGCTAATTGGGCATGTGCTAAGGGCTTTAATGTTTTTTTTAAATTTATTATTATTACACCACATCGATTAGAACCTAGTAGACATTAATGAAGTAATAATTGCCATTTCAAAATGACCGTGCGTTGTTCTATAAGGCAAAACTAACCTGCTCGCTTGCGAATAATGTTCTAAGAACGGGAAAACATACCAAAGTATCTATAGATACTTGTATCAGTTGAATTGACATTGAACTGATGGATTATCCAAAGCGTTCTCGTTGGAAATGTCATTTCTGAACACACCAAGCCAAGAAAGATAATGTTAAGGCATTATGCTTTCTATGAATGTACCCACGATTTTGCATCACCTTTATACTAGCGTTATATGTAACGTTCCCAAACGATACACAATGTGCGTTTGTATTCTTTTGGTGCCGAGGTCGAGGGAGATTTTTGTTTGCTTTGCCGTCCATTGTCGTCGAGGGTTCGGATCGTCGATCACGATCCGTCGATCGCCGGCACCTAGGGTTCGCATGTGATCCGGTATGCAAGGTCGCCGCGGTCCTAGTCCTAAGTCCATCAGCTCCGGGAAGAGACCGTGTGTGTACGGCTCTCTAAGGTTACACCGAACGATTTTCACAAAAACCGTTGACGGCCCTTTCGATTGTTTGTAAACCGACAATATACGACTGTTGCTTTTTTTCCGCATCGTGATTCCAACAAAGCACATCATTATGTTGTCAGCTCTATGTTGTGTTGGCGGCACTCACGACCGCGCAATAGTAATAGTGCGAGGTAATACAATATTCGGCGACCCGGCAGTCGAGTCCCGATTCTCAACTGCAATTCAAATAGCAGTTCGCAATACAATCATCGTTAGTGCGTAGACACATTAGAAAATTAAATTCTTATCATGTCCAACATAGAGGCAAGCGGACCTTTCGGTTTTCATCTGAACGCACAACGCCGTCAACGCCGCAACCTTGTCCGGACCTATAGCCGCGTCGCGCCCATCTATTGTGTGTTTCTTGCTCGGCCTAACTTCCTTACTTGAACTTTTGTACTTGAACGGCATGTTGTCTGTGACGATCATGTTGTTGTGTTTACACGAAAACGAGAAAGGAGTTGGCCGGCGGTCGGCGAAAAGCAATCGCCAGAACCACCCGAAGGCTGTCGTCGTTGGAGTACACACACACATACACACACACACACACTTTTTAATTTCATTATTTGTAGTTTGCCCTTTCGTTTAACGCCCAAATGACGTCATTTCTGGACAATATTGTTGCTTTTCGGGTCCGTCCAAACAATCGATACATGGCGGCGAATGATTGACGTTTGGTTTTGTTTCACCATAAACAAAAAATACCTACATAATACGCTATTATACATTATATCTGTTCAATCTCACAACACATCAAGTGCATTATCGGCTGGCCGTTCTAACGATTCGTTTGTTTATGTTTGCCCACACAGATTCTCGCCTCGCTAACAGTGTCGCTATGCTCAATGGTAGTGGGATTCGCGTCCGCCTACACGTCACCGGCCCTGCCATCGATGAACAGCCCGGGAAGTCCGCTCACCGTCAGCGAAGAAGAAGTAAGTAGCCCAGACAACAGCACGAATGACAGTGGCCAAAAGTTATTATTAACACCGGCTGGGGTTTTTTTTTATTTGCAGGGTTCCTGGATCGGCAGTCTCATGCCGCTGGCGGCTCTCATAGGCGGCATGGCCGGCGGTCCCCTGATCGAATCGATCGGTAGAAAAACTACCATACTCGCCACCGGAATTCCGTTCATCATTTGTAAGTCGCCAAACTGCCAGTTACTAGTAAATGAATAAATGTTTTCCAGCTTCTGTCACTAATCCGTTATAAAAAGAAAATTATATAATATATTGATAAGAGATAAGAGACTACTGATAACATATTAATGATAAGGTATAACTGATAAGAGATCGTCGATAAGAGATAACGGATAATACTGATACGGATAGATATCTGTCAATTTCAAATCGATTAATTGATAATTGGGCGAAATTTTATTTAAATATAATCTTTTATTAATTGAAATTAAAAGATAATGTTTTCATTCTAATAATTTTGTCTTTGATAATTCTCAAAAAACATTTCTTGAACAAACCATCAACAAAAATATTCGAATAAAAATGTATTGTAATAAATTTAAAATAGTACCATTAAGTATATACAAATAATATTATTCGAATAATTTTCAAACAAAGTTATCGGGTACATTTTCACTAGAATAATATTATCTGTGGTTTATTTATTCAAAATATAGATTTGTTTTCCAGTTTAATGATATTCCAACGATTGTCTAAATTTAAAACAGAATGTAATGCCCAACTCTGATATTGCTTAGGTTAGGCTGGGCTTCATCCTCGTTGAAATTTGAGTATAGTTGTTGAAAAACAACATCTTCATGGTTTAACGCGTTTATTTTTTGTGTACCGCACCGAAATTGGTTCAAGTGCAATAGTACTTCAATAGGCTACATCGAATAATAGGTATTTCGCAATCCGGAAGATATTCCTAATTCGGGTCTAGACCCAAGCACTCGTTTGGTAACCTACTAACCGAATTCCACTCGTTTTCGAGTACCCTCGATGGGATTTTATTGCCCCGATTGTGTCATGTACCATGGCCCTTGAGTACACCATTATTATTGTGTAATATTGACGGCATGTTCCGTTTTTTTTTTGTATGTGCAGCGTTTCTGTTGATCGCAATGGCCGTCAACGTACAAATGGTGATGGCTGGCCGAGCCATAGCCGGTTTTTGCGTGGGAATCGCTTCTCTCGGTCTTCCCGTGTACTTGGGCGAGACCGTACAGCCTCAGGTCCGGGGCACTCTGGGTCTGTTGCCCACCACGCTCGGCAACAGCGGAATCCTGTTGTGTTTCATCGCCGGCAAATACTTAAACTGGCAGATGTTGGCCATCCTTGGCGCCTGTATCCCGGTGCCGTTTTTGGTGTGCATGTTCCTCATCCCGGAAACGCCACAATGGTACATCAGCCGAAGTGAGTCGACCCATCCCTCGGCCGTGGCCGCGTGCTCCTCGTCGACCGGGGCTAGTAGTTAATATTTTTTGTTTGCTTTTCGCTACCAACAGACAAGAGCAAGAAAGCGAAAAAAGCTCTGCAGTGGCTGCGAGGAAAGAACGCCGACGTGACGCAAGAGTTCAGCGAAATCGAAAAGGCCAATCACATGGGCAAGAACGAAGAGATGCCCGGCTACTTGAGCCTGTTCTCGAAAATGTACTCGAAACCTCTTCTCATATCCATGGGTCTCATGTTGTTCCAACAGTTCAGCGGTATCAACGCCGTCATCTTTTACACCGTCAAGATCTTTAAGGTACAACTGTCGTCCGTCGGAAACATCCACACTCCTCTCCCACCTAGATTAGCGATAAGAGACAGACGTTTAGAGATCAGTAATCAGAGACATATTATGATAGGTAACAGTCGCTGGTAAGAGATTAGTGATGAGGGACAGCATAATATAACGGCTCCTGATAAAATGTACAAAAGGTCGGAAATGTGTTGGATAACCGTGGGAAGGGTCGGGGAGGCACATATCCGTGATACTATGGTCTCGTGCGTGTAGTGGAGAAACTAATGTTTTGTGAAACTTTTGCGTTTACAGGAAGCCGGCAGCTCCATCGACGAGAACCTGTGCACCATCATCGTGGGCATCGTCAACTTCCTGTCGACGTTCGTGGCGACCGCCCTGATCGACAAGCTCGGCCGCAAGATACTGCTGTACGCTTCCAGCGCCACGATGGCCGTCACGCTGATCACCCTCGGCACGTTCTTCAACTACAAGAACGCCGGCTACGACGTGTCCCAGTACGGATGGCTGCCGTTGGTCAGCTTCGTGTTCTTCATTATAGGATTCGCCATCGGATTCGGACCCATCCCGTGGTTGATGATGGGCGAAATTTTACCCGGTAAGTAGTACACGACGATTGGAATTACTACGACGAGTAAAGCACAGTGAAAACATCTCCCCACCTACCCGAACGCAGAGACAGAGCATGTAGCTATGTAGATTTGTATCGCATCTTCTTCCTCTTCTTCGCCTTACACTCCCATGACCATCTCGGCCTATTCACTCTCGTTTTCTCCACAATTGATGCAACCCCCTTAGACTCAGTATTCATTTCGTATTCTATCTGCCCTGGTCACTCCACTCGTCCATTTCGTTTAAAAATTCTCACTGTCCTCGACTAATCTGGTTGCGCTGTGGTTTTCAGCGAAAATCCGAGGCACGGCCGCTTCGTTGGCCACGGCTTTCAACTGGGCCTGCACGTTCTTGGTGACCAAGACGTTCTCGGATCTCCTACGGGTGTTTGGCGCGGACGGCGCCTTCTGGCTGTTCGGCGGCATCTGCCTGACCGGGCTGGTGTTCATCATATTCTGCGTGCCGGAGACCCAGGGCAAGAGCCTGGAAGACATCGAACGCAACTTGACCGGCGTGGGCAAAGGACCCGTTCGACAAGTGCGGAGGATGAGCTCCATAGCGCATCTGAAACCGCTGCCGATGGCCATCTAATGTGATCTAATGTCACAAGGATCGATATTGATATATATATATATATATGTGTTTTTTTATTATTATTATTATTATTAATATTGATATTATTAATTACCATCATTCAACGACGTCGTCGTTCACCAACAAAAAAAAAAAAAACGTTTTCGAAAAATAAAACCACACATAACACACAGTTGTTGTAGGTACACTCAGTACAGTCGAGTAAATCTCAAACGACCGAAATCCATTTTTCGACATTCGATATTTTACCTAAAAATAATAAAAACGCAAACTTACTTTTGCAAACGTAATTTTTTCGTATGTATAATATAATAAAAACAATATTGATAAATTAAAAGAATATATATTAAAAAGAAAAACCGCGCGTTACGCACTATACTGTTGTTGTTCTAGAGTGTACAGCTGTCGTTTTTGTTTCGATTTGATTTTTTTTTTTTCGTTATTCGTATAATGGTGCTAAAACATTTCAGACAATAATTTTTTTCTACATTTTTTTCTCTAAAAATATAACATTATCGTGTAATAATTACGACTGTCCGATTTAAAAAAAAAAAGAGGCAAAATTTCCACATTCCGGAGAGTAGGTGAAGTTCCAATATTTTTTTTTTTTTTATATTTTTGTGCTGTGATAGAGAGATATAGAACATCCCTCCCTCCAGTGATATACATATATATATATACATATATGTATATATATGTATACATATATTTAAACTCAAATCTTTCTCCCAAACAATAACGTCTCGGTTTTCCTCAAAAAAAAAAAAAAAAAGAATTACAAGCTATCCTCTGTTTTTTTATTATTATTATTATTATTATTATTATTATCATAATTATAATTATTATTATTATTAATATTATCGTTATAATTAAATGTGTTTTAGCGTTAAGCAGTAGTAGTAGTTTTTTGGGGGAACTCGTTATTGTACTTACAGTTTTTGTTTTACATTAAATGGCAGAGTACACGTTAACATTTTTTTTTTTTGTATACACGACATAAATTATATATATATATATAGGTACATATGCTTAAGCCACATTGTATTTATATGGTTTTTTACGGAAGAGGGGGGGGGAAGACGGAAGCTTTGGCGAATTTTTTTTTTGGTCGAAGGCTTAGCCTGGTATAGATTTTTCTTTTTTCTTTATTAACTTTCTTCTCATATATATTATAATAAATAATTAATAATCGATAATACTGTTCCGACAAAACAGAGTTTATAATAACTATATAAAATAACATCATCATAATTACACGTTCTTCCCCTCCCCTCCCAAACGAACAGAAACGTTTCTAACAAATTTATTTATCATCATATATTTAAAAATTATATGTGTGTATGAATATATATATATATATATATATATACACACAGAATATCCCGTCAGAAAATGGTTCACCGTTTTTTTAAATGACCAAAACATGAATTACACAAACGAATCATTTTTTTTACAACATTTTTTTTTTCATTATGAATTTTCAGTTCTATGAAACTTTCACGCCATTGCGATTTAGCGAAAGCCCTATGTATAAATAAATTAACAAAATTATTATTATTATATAAACTTAAACATATTAAAAATATTTAACGTTACAAAATACAACAACAACAACAACGACGACAACGAATAATTGATTCAACAGGGTGGACACAAGTTTTTTTGTTTTTTTTTACTGACACAATTACAGACTGGCCTTTTTTTTTTTTGGTAAAAATGTTTTTTTTTCCAACTAGCAAAAACAATAGAATTCGATTACTTTGTACATTCGTTTTAGCAGACGAACAAAATTATATGTGATTTAATTAATTATATTATATTATATACAAGATATATTATATTTATATAATATACGTTTTTTTTTATTATTATTAAATTTAGTTACCATGATTAAAACTATATATATATATATTTTTTTTTTTTTTTGTTAGGATATATTATTTATTGAAACAATGTTATTTTAGATTTTCGGATGACATGTTATTTATTTCTAGATTGTATTTAAATATAAAATAAAAGTTTGATTATATATTATAATAAAGTAGAGCTCAAAAAAAAAAATTAAAACATATTTATAACAATAATGATGTACTCTTTAAAATAATATATCATAGTGTCGTCAATTAAAAAAAAAACATTATATTTATTATTATTATTATTGATTATATGTAAAGCAATAGTAATATTTAAAAAAAAAAACATTCCTTCGCGAAAGAAATTTAATAGTATTTTTTACTTAAAATACGTGTAAAAAAAATAAAGTATGTTAAGGTCTTTTTTTTTTTTTAACTTTCTTACATGATTACTTTTTGAATACTATAATATAAAAGAGAAACAATTATTTGTCGCTCGAGCACGTTTGTTTGAAAAATGCGTTGTTTCATTTGTATTTATTGAATAGTATTTATATATATATATATAATATATATAATATATAATATATATATATATATATATATATATATATATATATACATTTTTAGAGACTTAAACCTTCTTTTTTTTTATTAAAAACGAACGTACAATAAAATATGATTGTATTGTTTTATTTATTTTTGTATTACAAAATTAAAATTCAATGTGAAACACCGTTTAATTTACGTGTACAAATAAACAATTACTATTTGTTGAAAACATCAAAACGGGCCTGTTGTTATTTGTTGTACAGATACACTAATTGTACAGTAACCGTTTGTTCGCTAAACTAAACATCAAAAGGGCGTTGTTTTTACAATGATGCGGTTAATTGATTCTCATTTTCTATTTCATATGACAATATTTTTAGCTTCGATGCGAAGCTGAATTGTTTTTACAATGATGTGTCTTTATTTTTTTTAATTTTATTTATCTGTCTGGACCCACGGTATCTCGTAAACCGCTGAACCGATTTCTTCGTGTAGAGCAACTCTATAGATCAGAAATCATACTTGGAAGGTACTTTATCGGGCCAAAAAGTCACCCCTTCCCCATCAAAATCGAGAAAAACGCCCAAAAAATTTACAAATTTTTCAACTTAAAATTACGACGCTCTATAAATGTTTTTAAAAATCGTCGAAAATGTTGCAAATTTATTTGAATTGTTTTTCAAACATAGCTAAACTATCGATAAACATTAACGAACCAAAAAAATATCATAAACCCTTTCCCTTAGATAGGGTTAGAATTTTTTTCTTTATTTCAAGCAAAGTTTTAGAGATTTAGATCTGAAAATTAGACCAAAGGTAGATCTAAAACGGAACTATAACATGTACAATTTTCTCAAAAGTCTGTAGTCAAATTTTTTTTTTATCAAGGGAAAACCCCCAAAATAGAGTAAATTTACTACACTTTGGCCGTAGTCAGTTTCTAGGTTGCTATGTGTGTGTGTGAATCAACTGTCAACGGGTAATGAAAATATTTTCATTATATTGTTAATTACGGTACATGGGTAACTATGACAGTACATTTTTATAGACAGACGATCAACCCTTATCGTATCCACCCTGCACAAGACTAAATATTAAATTTTAAGTACATTATTGCTGGCCCCACGATATCTTCTAAACCGCCGTAACTAGTTTCAACATACTATCCACAGATTCGCATCGAAGCGTTTATTTAAAAGTGATTTTATCACTTTCAGTTATAATAAAATGTGCTGTAGACCTGTGACCTCTCCGTCCCCACTATACCCCCATCCCACTGTATTGTCTTATTTGTTTTGTTACCTTTGAGAGTTGTACAATTAAAAGCAAAAAAAAAGAAAACAGTTACAGGAAAACAGCTAAGCGCATTACAATAGTTATTGTTGTTGTTGTACTAAATTGTTTTTTTCCACACCCGGTTCAAAAAGTATATACACTAAAAAAATACAAAAAACAAACGATCAAAAGATTGATTGGACAATTATTTTATTTCAAACACAATTTTGTAAATTTCCATTCCAACGTGTGTGTTTGATGAAGCCGACAGCCAAAATACTATGTTATGTACAAAAAGTAGTTTTTGACGTTTTAAACAAGACAGTGTTTAGTCGAAAAACAATGGGATGTTTTAGCTTAAGTACGTCACATAAGTTACATCTCTAAAAAATACATAAACACCCCCAAAAAATGGTTCGACAAACGAATTTTGATTTTATATTTTGATGCAGATAACACATTGTAGTAAGGGTTAATTTTTAAAACATTTTTTAACTAACTACATTGAAAACTTTTACCAGATTTATCTGGTTTTGACTTGTTTGTTGAATAGAAAAAATTATTCGACTAATTTTCCAACATTATTTAATTATTCAAATACCCAACCGTATTTTGTGTGACTTTGTGCTTTTTAAAAATCATTAACTCGTTATTTTTTTTTTTTTTGTTATTCCCCGGCTACTATTATTGTACTGTTTTATACCATATAGCGTAGAGTCTACTATTCCACGGACGTGGCAGGTATAAGTAGTTGAAATAATACATCTTTGAACGTTGCCCGTGTACAATCGTGACACGAATACGCCATCGGTTAAGTACTACAGACGGGTGTAGTATTTATGCGGCACACGCTACTGAATGCATTACGATTAATATTAATAACATTTACATAGTCCGACCGAGGCAGTTTGGAGACAAAGATGACGTACAATAATTTGTAAATTGTCCAACAGCAAGTGGTGAACACGTTCCGTGTGGAATAATAAAACAATTGTTTTCAATCGAATAATGATAACAATTAAAAGATAAATAAAAGCCAGTACAGTGGGATGGGGGCATAGTGGGGACGGAGAGGTCACAGGTCTACAGCACATTTTATTATAACTGAAAGTGATAAAATCACTTTTAAATAAACGCTTCGATGCGAATCTGTGGATAGTATGTTAGGAGATAGGGGTGAGAATTAGCCGGTACATAACCGAAAAAAAGCGTAACGAAAAAAGCGTTACGCTATTACGCGCAATTATCGGAAAGACCTGATATGAGATAAGAAATACGTCGTACGTTCAACGTTCAAATTAGAACTAAATAATAAATTCAAAATAGTTTAATTTTCTATATATTAAACTATATTAAGTTACTTTTGGCCAGATCATATAAAAGATCGTGAAGTTCCATGGAGCTTCCAGTTACAGCATAAGGCCAAGGAGATTTAAAAATATCACATAAAATATTATAATCAAGTTCCTGGCCAAAATTGTAGTGTTTTCAGGGGTGGGATATAGGGGTAGGGGTGAGTTATAGGGGGTAGGGGTGAGTGATAGGGGTAGGGGATTGGGGGTTAGTGATTGGGGTAAGATATCGGAGCTAAGAGCTATGTTGTACGTTCAACGTTCAAATTAGAACTAAATAATAAAATCAAAACAGTTTAAGGGCCCAATTTCTCTATGAATTGTTTTAAGCCAGATAATAAACATTACAATTTTAGCCAGAAACTTGTCGTTTTAATATACTAGCTTGTTAACGCTTGTTAATATACTATATCATTATCTATAATTCCACCACTACTCTAAATTTATTCGGTACTCAACGAGACATGAAAATGCTTGTTTGTGGTTGCAGACTCGGCTGAAGAACTTTTTGGTTTGTTAATGTTTATCGATAGTTTAACTATGTTTGAAGAACAATTCATATAAATTTGCCACATTTTCGACTATTTTTAAAAAAATTTATAGAGCATCGTAATTTTAAGTTGAAAAATGTGTACATTTTTTAGGCGTTTTTCTCGATTTTGATGGGGAAAGGGTGACTTATTTTGACCTGCTATAGTACCTTCCAGGTATGATTTCTGATCTATAGAGCTGCTAAACGAAGAAATCAGTTCAGCGGTTTACGAGATATCGTGGGTCCAGACACAAAAAAAATAAAAAAAATAAAAATACATTATTGTAAAATCAATACCTTCTCAGCTCCGTATCGAAGCTAAAAATATACTATATATATCAGTATAATTTATAAACATTGAACAAAAACCAGATTGTTCAGAAATGCACATTGAAAAAAACATTTTACAGAAAAACGTTCACTCGAGCAAAGTTTTTAGATTTTTAGGACTGAAAATTAAACCGAAGGTTTTTAACTCGTTTTTTTTAAATGTAATTTAAATATTATTATTTGTGTTTTAAATATCAATCTGCTGTTAAAAAAAATAATAGCAAATTTCCATTCAAAAGTCATCGAAGGCGGGACAACATAATAATATATGCCCACCGTGCGGCATGGGTTGTATTTCTTTTGTCAATCGAATTAATGGACACCTGTAGATGCTGTAATTATTAGAGAACTTTATTTTATATTAAAATCAATCGTTTAATATTAATGAAATTATTAAAAAAATTGTTAATTAATAGAATTGTTAGTTTTCGAAAACTTACACTAACCTTCTGTCGATCTGACATGTTTTTTTATGCTGATTAGTTTTGTCAACACAGTTCATAATATGTTTATTGTATTCACTTAAATCTGTAACGAGACTATAACATTTGTAAATTTTTTCCAAAAATCTGTGGTCAAACTTTGTTTTCATTTGGAAAAACTCCTTCCATTTGAGAAAATGGGAAAATTAGTAATTACACATTGACCGTGTCTGCTTTGACCTTTTTTTGTTGTTTCTCGACTTTTAACATTTGCGACCGGTAAAAAAATTAACCTTGATAATATTATAATGCTTGTTATTTTGTCTGGGCATTGTGTGTAGGCGAAACCGTACACCGTACAAGTGAATGTTTTTTTTTTTAATTGTGGGAATTTGTTTTTGTTGGCTCTGTGTATTCCTAACCATGTGAAGAATAATCGAGTTTTTTTTTGTATGTGGCAATGACAGGTATAGGTAGAATTCCAACTTTGATAGGTACCTACGTTACAAGTGCAACAAGCCTATTGCGCTTTGCCCAGAAAACTATAAGCAAACATTAAACAAATAAATCCTGTTTTCATAAAAAAAACATGATCGAATCGAGGCACATTTTGTTTGAGCACACAAACAGGGCATTTGGAATGATTTAGTCGCCCCGCTTTGCTAATATCTTGCTGTACAAAATATGGTAAAAATTCACATAGTTTCTATGAATCCAGAACAATCCATTGAGCTCTTGATTCGCTTTTAAGTCTAAAAGTCACTCGAGCCTCACCCAAGATCGTACGTGTCGGTTAAACTTGACGGGCTTCAATCCAAAAACACTCTTTTCCAATTTTTTTTTTTTTTTAATTGATTTATACATTGATTCTTACGGTAAACTGTATGGATAGTGGAATGGTAAAGTCATTTTCAGGCAAAACACTCTTTTTTCTAAAGAAAAATATCCTATTGAAAAATAACAATTCACTCAAAACGTTCTTTTTCCAGTAGATTATTTACTGCAAAAACGTTCATTTGCATTTTACTTCAAAACGTGCTATTTCCAATGTCATCAGTGTAATACCTTACACATAAATTTATTGCATAATGTACTATTTCCTTCAACATTTGTCAAAACGTTCCATTATTCTTCAAAACGCTCCCTGATTAAATATGTTTTTCCAAAACGGACTTATTTTTTTTCTTTTTGAACAATTTATACTTTAAAAAAATGTATTTAATCAATTGTTTAATAATATTTAATTTAGAAATATCTTGTTGCACACGTGATCGGTTCCCAGGAGTGAGTGGTACCGGGTTCAAATCCTACCTGCCCTCTCAACACTTTTTGCATTTTTTTCAACTTTTATGGTAATTTATATTGCAATAAGTCTAAAAACTTATAAAGTATTTATATTTTATTACTACAGAATACATTTTTACTCTTAAAAGTACTTGATAACTGGCTGATAACTTGCACTGGCTATTTATCTTCTCTTCCTTTTTCTCACTATCTACTGAGATGCTTGTAACAGTGACTCTCTGACAAATAAATTTATGAATATAGTTATTTATTGCATCAGTAATCAAAATTAAAGAGAGGGGTGGGTAGAGAGAATGACAGCCTGGCACGTTAATGATCTTTTCTTATTCCTCACTTCAAATTCATTCTCACGTGTTACTGCTTACAAATTTCTTATTTCTTTAATAAAATTCTTTCACCCGTTTTACTACATGACGTTCGGAACTTAATAAAGAATATTATAATATATTTATATTTTTAATAAAGAATAAAATTTTCTTTTCGAAACGTATAATTTGTCTCTGAACAGTGATCCTACACAATCTACGACAAAAAATGGTACAACCATTGATGCTGTTTTTCCAGATATTTGAACAAAATTGAGTCAAAAATATACGTATCATATTTTAGTCATCATAAATCAATAATTTCTATGATAGAATGTGAGATTTAGTAATATATAATAATATACATATGATAAAAATAATTTTATATCAATCACTTTTTAAAAATTAATCGAATGCAACCATATGACATCTGAACTTCGTTTCTACCGACGGTCCTGTTTTTAATACATTAGGTACTGTTAGGTTTTTAATATTTTTAAATATATCTAGTGTAGTTGATTTTTACTTTTGTAATTATAATATATTTTTAATAATTATTATGAAAAGAACTAGAACTAACAAAAAATGGTTGTCAACAGTATGATGAAGACGTATACTAATGTAAAACAAATATTACAAATTAACTAATTTTGTGATATGTTCACACAGTTAGATAAATACAATGGAAGAAAAAAAAATATTGTACTTTTATTTTACTTTTCCAAATTTAATGGCAAAACGTACAGTTTCCGGAAAAGAGCCGTTTTGTCGGAAATAAGATTTTTAAAATGCATTCAAAAAAAGGAAACGAAAGAGTTTGCAAATCAATTAAAAATGTTTTTTAGTTTTTTTTTAATTTAAATATCGAGTTACGATCTAAACCATTCAATATATGTTCCTAAACATTACACTTGCTCTACCGAAAAAGTAGAAAACTGGAAAAGGTACACAATTGAATCGTAGCCCCTCGATTATGTACACACGAATCAATTATCGTCGAGCGAGCATTGCTCATGCATAATGGTGTTGATCGGTCTGGCGTTTGAAAACAATTTCAATATATTATATTCCAAATGGAAAACAACGACGATGGGACGCGTTCATAAATATTCCGTCTATTCAAGTTATTCTCTAGTCTCTAAGACGATTTCCAGAAGAAAACAAAAAAAACAATCATTAGCTCGTAGCCCAGGGTGTCGTTACAACGGTTCCTAAAATGCTCTTTTCGTTGGCTCTGACGGCATTAGTTGTCTTGCCGATAGAAGTGTTTCCCATCAGAGCCATCGACATCGATTGGGATTCGGAAAACACTATTCCGCTACCGGACACGGTGATAATTATTAATTCCACTTCGAACGGCACCGACGACACCGAAGCCGAGCCGACATATCCGAAAGATTGGCTGGCAGATCTCCTCTACCAGTGTCTGGTGCGATTTTCAATTAAAGACGTCGGCAGTTCGGCATGTACAGCACAGTCGAAAATGTACAGGAGTCATTTGAAAAATAATTCCTACTGGGCCGTGAAAAGTAAGCGCTGCTCATTGACCAATAGTAGCTGTGTATAAGTCTGTGTTACGGTTTTTACATCTAGTCGCATGATATTAATGGTGTGTAGTGACTATATCAACGTCCAGAGGAGTTTAAAATATGTAGTGGAAATTTTCAAAGTCCAATCAATTAAAATATATCGTTGCGGTTATTTTACCCGTAGTAGTAAATTTAACATTTTAATACTCATTACGAACGATGCCTTCGTTTTTACAATCTATTCGAAGTCACCATATAACTTGGGTGAAATGACTAACGTCGGTCTGGCACCCCCCTAGGTCTTTGTTCAATGTAAAAAAAAAAAAGAAACGTCATCACTCGTCATATAACTTATGCAAATCAAAAATATACATAGGTGTATAATTTGTGAGTTTATCCTAACCTAACCTAACCTAACCTAATTTAGCTAACTTTTTAAGATTATTTAGCTTCGTGTGAACTTTTATTGATCACATTCTTGGCCAAACGACTGTTTAAAGAAAAACAAATTATTATTAGCTTCGACGTAGATCTGAGAAGGTATTGATTTTACAATGATGTGTAAAGTCGAATTAAATTAAATATATTTTTTTATTTATGTTTGTTACCGATTTACCTGAAAAAATTGCAGATTTTTCAACTTTTAACTTAAATAGCTGACATATTGCACTGATGTAAAATTCTAAAAATATATATTTTATACTAAACACAAATATACTAAAATTACCCGAACAATGTGGTAAATCGTTTTTGTATGTCAGTCTTTCCCAACTTGTCTTACTTTACAAGATGCTTACAATTATTGCAAACTAAAAGCGTTCGTTGTGTAAATTCACAAACGTTTTAAAGTTGAGGGGGTGGAAATGCAGTAAGTAACATATCTTAAGATTAAATCTTAAAGGTGAAACAGATGACATTTTTGAGCATAACAGGTTTTTAACTGCTATCTTCGGATTTTACAGTGTCGGATTCATGGCCTAGATACCTAAACGGATTATTAATAGGCAATACGCATCACATGGGCGTTTATGACGAGTGCGTTAGTGTGCACCAGCCAGTCCAAGGAAAATATTGTATGTCGACCATCGAACTTCAAACTTCAACAAACGAAAATTTCACCCAGTACAGTAAAGATGAGTACTCGAGTTTCGACAACGCTTGGCAAGAGATACTCGGGGTAATTATTTGAATAGCATATTCTTGTTCTAACAGTTATATATTTTGATACCTTAAAGATTTAGTATGTCCAGTTTTGATAACTTAACTCTGAAAGTGCCCCGAAAGACACCTTCGCCATGGTAGGAGTCCTGCTAGTATCCTCGTGGCATTTGTCATTCCTGCATAGATTAATTCTTGGACAGATCATTTGGATTCAACATGCAACTGGAGCTTTGACGTCCAAAACAGGAGTTGTTGACAACTAGTTATTGCGGTATACACTTGCAGCCGTTGATCTCATAGGTTTAATGGAATTTAGATAGAATTCCAATGTGACAATGATAGCCCCCTCAAGCATATTTCTTTCAGAGCATGAAAGAATATCTTTCTTGTGTATACGCTCTAACTAGATGAGTTCCATGAATTTAAAACGATCGATGAGAACTAAGTAAAACATTACTGCAATCGTTTTGAATGCACGCTAAGTAAACGTCCACATTGTTGAAAATTTTTATAAATATACACAATTAACCCACTGACCTGGTGAATGTCGGCATACATTCGTGACTACGCATTCACTGTAACATGTAAATTTAATTACAAAAAGCACATTTGATCTCGCTTCAAACAAATTCGTTAGAATTCTTACTTATTTAGTTTCAAACTTGTTCCAACCTACAGTTGGTCCTACAATTATTGTTTCGCGAAAAAAATGATTTTCATTGTTACCAGTTTATCGATTACGGCGATCGGTTCAAAAGAAATGTGATAAGGCTTGGCGTATGCGTGCCCGAAGCTTGTACCGCGGCAGACCTTGAAACATCATTGCAAAGGGAAATGGACAGAATACTGCTGCCCCATCAACTAAAAGCACGAATCGAAGTTCATCCAAACTTGTGTAGCACCGACAAAGATTTGCAGCCATTCGAGATTGGATATTACATAACCGGGTAAGCAAATCGAAACAAGTTACAAACAACTTAAGTGATTTTATAAATACACAACAAAATCACTAAGACTGAAGTCATGTAGTGTAGATATCAGAGGCTATGCACACTCTTGATTAGCTATTAATTAATTTTTAACATCGACATCAACTTCGTAGTGTTGCACTGTTATTTTATACAAGAAAATCATGAAGTTTGTTTGGATTTACATTTAGTGGTTTGATCGGATTGCTGTTATTGGCTGTATCTTTATCGACAACCTATCATTTAATAGTTCTGGTTCGCGATACGCAAGATAATAAAACATGTAAGTACATGTTTATAGCCACAATTAGATTATTTGAAATAAGACGTGTAATTTTAAACGCAAGAAACACAGGCAAATTACAATTTTGTTAATAGAATTTACAGCAACTGTTCTTATTTTTAATTAAGTCTATTAATTATTGTTTGTACACATTTTTCGTAGGTCTGGAAGTAATCACTATATTTTCTGCCATCAGAAACGGAAGAGACCTGATTAAATATAATAGGAATAATGATTTAAACATCTATAACGGTCTGAAAGTGACAATTTTAATGGTAGTGTTATTTACACACAAATATACATACTTTGTAATTAATCCGATTTTGTATCCGAAACTTGTAGAAGAGGTAAGTTTACGCTATCATATTATCTATATGTTTTATAAATACACAAACAATTACTGTAACTTGCCCGTTAAATATGAATTAAAGGTTTACACTGTCGGTCCACACTTTCCATTGACCATTGCGAACATTGTTGACCCTTTTTTCTTCATAACCGGTTACTTAGTTTACATCATGATGATTCCGCAGTTCACCAAACCTGGTTGCCAGTGGTTTCATATACCATTTGTGATTGTATACAAATATTTAAGGTAACCGTCGGCCTCGTGTTAATAATACGTTTACTGTTCATATCCACGACCTGCGTTTCGTTTCCAGAACCCTCCCTATTTACATCATATTGATGCTCCTCACGACTTTTGTCATTCCTCATTTGGGAGATGGTCCATTTTGGGCGAATAAGATGTGGCTCGAAGCGGACAAATGTAAAACGCATTGGTGGACTAATTTACTGGCCGTTAGTAATTTCATTCAAGTGGAAAAACAAGTAAGTATTGCGTGTGTGAAGTTTTACCTGTATTCAAAAACAAGGCCCTGGAAATTTGCATAGCTGAGTATGGCAAAACAGCGTTGTAGACTATTCCGAGAAAGAACAGATACCTAAGAATGTGTGTAACAATCGTAGAGAATACTTACGAAGAAGTGCAAGCGAATGGTCAGAGAACTGGGTGGCGAAACAGAAGAAATTCCATCTGGAGTTTGTCAAGAGTCAGACCATACTGTTATTTTCCTTTTTAAAAATGACTTAATAAAGTGCTGTAGTTTCAAGAGATAAGCCAGTAGAAGTATTGGGATTAACTAAGTGTGAAAAAGGGAAGTATTAAATAATTGGAAAAATTACTTGTACCTTAAAAAATAGAGTACTGAGATTTTGGGTTTAGTAATGATTTGTACAACTTAAATTTCTACTAGTTTCTTATTGTTATGCTATTTATTTTCAGTGTCTTGTAGCAGGTTGGTACATATCGTGTGTTATACAGTTACTTGCCATTGGAACCATCATAATATACATATATGTAAAAAAGCCTAAAATCGGAGTTTATATAATGGTCTTAATGTTGATTATGTCGTTGACCATCCGATTTGCTGTAACATACCACACGAAATCGTACGGAATCATCAAGTTTATGATATCGTTAGTATTTGTATTATTTTATATTTAGCTTTTAGTAAAAACAAAATAATCATTAAACGTTTACATAAGCTGTTTGCTGGCTCGGCAATTACAATAACACCATAAGGTTTCAAGTTTAAACCAATTCCATGTATATTTAAATACAATAACAAAATAATAATTGTAATTCATCATTAAAATATGATGAAGGATATGATTGGAACAAAATAGGTTTTAAGGATGTCGGAAGGATTGTGATTGTAATACACGTAATGGAGAGGGTGTTGAGATGATTATTCATTTATTGGAAGAGAGAGAGAGAGTAGAAAAATGAAAAGGAAAATGCGGGAAATCATACATAGTAGGTTCATCATATAAAGTGCAGCGTGGTGGAGAATTGAAAGAAATGAGAAAAAAGGCAATTACGACCAAATCGTAGACTAGCAAAAGAAATATATCAATTATTATTGTCTTGTGATTCGATGGAAATTATTGATTTGATTTTATGTTTGAATTATTTATTTTATAGATCAACGGAAAATCCTCTTAGCTCATATGAGTACTCAAATCTATACACGCAAATCTACATGCGAGGTATACCATTTTATGCTGGCCTGTTAGCAGGTGTTGCGGCTGACGCTTTGAAACAAAGAGAAATTAAAATATCTACAGTAATGATATCATTAACACAATATAATATTAGATTTCCATTCATCTTCTTATTCGTATCGTCTCGTACAATCTAATCTATCCTAGGGCTAGCCACGTCTGACCATTTGTTTTTCTGGGTTATCAGTTACCTAGTTTTTAAATAATACTCAATTCAAATAAAATACAATTCGACTGAAAAAAAAAATGGATTATTCGAATTAAATACTAATAATGTTATTCTAATTTTAAAAAAAACCTGAAAGTTTGAGTTAGAAAAACTGGAAACTTATAGTAAATTGTTATGGTTAAAAATTAAGCTTATCGAAGCTTTAATGGAGCATTGTATTTACATTATTTACTGCCACTCGAATAGATTGACTGGTCTATCAACGTTTCGGTAGACTTGCACATTCCATCTTAAGATTTGTGGATCGATGTTGCTCGTATTGTGGTTTCCTGTAGACACTGAGCGACCAGCTTCCGCGGTCATTGGTTATTCACACTGTACTGCTTCTCATTTGGTCTCCGGTTTCCATTGGCCCTGTTATTAATAGCTGATGTATCATAAACGCCCGATATATGAGGCGCTCAAAAGCCAAACCGATTAACTCCACTTTTTTTTTTTTTTTAATTGCGAATAATAGCATGGTTGGATTAGAAAAGTGTATAATTTTCAGTGGCCAAGATAAATAACTCCATAGTTGAATTTTTTACCACTAGATTGCGCTAAGAAAATTGGCAATTGTACTTACGTACATTATTTCAAATAACTTAACTGCCTGTCCTGAAAAATTTCATTTTAATCGGTTTGCCATCTAAGCGCCTCATAATATGTAGACTTGGTAATCATCATTCGGACTACGGAAAAATTCTTCCAATTTCTTCACTGTTGAGAATACTGTCCTTACACTGTATTTTCTTGCTAACCCTTGTTGCTTGTATTTTTTTTCTGTTTTTCACAAGGCCCTGTGTTCACTGTATTCATGGCAAACCCTAGCTGCTGTTTTTCCTATTCTATAAGTTTTTCCAGCAAGTAAGGCTGCAAATTTTAAAAAAGCCATTAAAGATGGAGATTTTCTGAGTGCGACGGGGAATGCGGTATATAAACTTCGCTCAGTCTACAGGAAGCTACGGTGCAAGCAACATCGAATCTATTCAAGTGGGAGTAACCAGAGGATGTGTAATTGACGTAGAATGTTTTTGGGATTTGTTAATAACATCGAAAAAACTACTTTAACGAGAAAATAAATGTTTCATAATTTATATACCGCGACATTCTTATCAGCCACGTCTTGTTGAATTCCTCTATAATTTTTCCCTACTAACTGCCCAAAACCCTTTTCCGTTTATAATGTTGATTGAATATTATTTTTCAGACAACCACTTATGTCAGCACCGCGGTGATCATTGTTATTTGTATGTACGTTCAAATGTACGGCATGACGTTTTACGAGAGGCGCAGGCAATACGACGCGATCGAGTCGGCCATTTATGGAACTCTAAGCAATTGCACCTGGACCGTGATTTTCTTTTGGATCGCTATCTGCCATACCATTTCTAGTTATGGTAAGCCAAGCCAATTGTAAATGATCAACGACGTAGGTGTCGACGGATTATTTTTTTTATTTTTATCAATTTCTTTCTATAACGTTACAGTAGTGTAATTTACTTAGCCCCCTATTGATATTTGTACAATATCTGCCAATTACAATTTATTAATTGTATCGCTTGTTTGAAGGACCGATAGAAAAACTGTTCAACAATCGATTCGCCGTACCGTTGGGCCGACTCTCTTACTCAGTTTACTTGGTCAACATCACTGTAATGATGATGATTGAAAACTCCAAACGGACAAGCGCAACCCCGACAATGGGGATGTTGGTGAGTGGTTGTGGTTGTCATTATTGTATTTTAATACTATAGAACCAATAGCTGATTTTTCAAAGTTGGGTTAGTAATTGAACTGTAATTAAACAATACGAAAGAGTATAATACAAAAAACAAAACAACCGTGAAAACTATAATTCGTTTATAATATTGATTATCCGCAAACGTGAATCGTGTAAGTATAATATTAAATTAAAAAAAAAATTGTTTTTTATTAATTTAATTCTCTCAATTAAGCTTGGAAAAAATCAGTGCAAAAATAATATTCTTGTAGACAAACTGTTTACAGTGTGTGAATAATAATTGTTTTTGCTCTGTTGTTATATTTTAGCAAAATGAATGGATTATCGGGGTGTCTAAGACATACTTAGCAGCCGTAGCATTGTATTTAATTGTTGAAGCACCAATTGGATTACTGATAAAAAAAATTATCGTGGGAAGGTGAACTAACGATTATTATTTATACGAATTACCACGCGTTCACATCCGGTCATACGACTTAGCATTAATTGTTGAATAATATGATTTTGATTTTAAATAAAATATAATATAAGGGGTTCAACGGAAACTAAATTAATAGATATTTATCGCGGGTTATCCTATAAAAATAGTGTGGATAATATTGCCTATATTATCATTTCAAAAACGACCAGACCTATATTAATACAGGGTGATCATTTTATCGCGAACAGCTTAACATCTCATTGGGTTCAATAAGAAATAACATTTTTTTTTATTTTCATAATATTTTTATAAAATGTAATCTCAATTTTTCACAAATTTGCATATTCCCACCCAACTCTAAAATTAATTATTCTTATGTCATGTTTTGATACTCGAATAGTATCAATACATACATTTCGTTAATTTTTGAAATTGACAAAAAATGTACTACAAATTTTAACTGGTCCATAACCAGTTTTGGATGACTATTTTTGAAGTTATTGAAGTTTCAAGTTTAGCGCAGGAGGAAAGCAAGGAGTGTAGTATTATTTTTATCTGCGCGCACTTTCCCTCCCGTCTTAACATTTAAACTCTTCTGACTAATAAAAAAAAAAAAAAAATGTTTCTTAAAACGCATGAAATATTGAGTGATTCACGATAAAATGAACACCCTGTATGCATTTTAATATTATAAATTATTGAAAAATACCATATGCAACGGAATATTAGTAACGTGATTGTGGTTTTGATTGATTTCAGCAAGTTTAGTAATCAATTAGATGTCGACAAAACAATTCGGACAAATGCAAAATCAGTTGGACAAAGTGATACGACAAAATTGTAACTGTGTACATTTTCTTATTTAGCTCTCTTCGCCTGCGATATTTCTTTGTGTTTCCATTTCAATTTATGAAAAATGCGAGTCATCAATATGTGTACAAGGTATTTTTTAATATTACAGGTATTTTTTAACAATTGAAAAAAAAAAAACTTTAAATTATTTTCTATTTTTTTTCTCAAATTTCTTATATTGATATTCTAAACTTTTATAGTGTACTACAAACAGTGTATAGCCTTTTGTAATGTACTATTAATAGTTAATTTTAAAAAAATGTTACATTTTGTATCATTAAATATTGTTTGTAAATATATTGTTTTTGTTAAAAATATTTCACCCCAAAAATATTGTGAAAAGAAACCTTGTCTATGTTGCTCATATTTTAGATGGTCAAAGGCTGTAAAAACTATCGTGGTTCATTGTTAAGATCTAAAAATATGTCTTGTTACAATAAACGGATTTGAAATTTAATTGTGTTATTAAAATTCGATTATATATAATGTTTAAAGCGGTACTTTAGAAATAGTAATTTTTATATTAAGCAATTTTCTTGATATCAGAATTGAGTAAGTGAGATAAATATAGGGTACAAAAAAAAACATATAAACATTTTTTTTTTTTCATGGTTGTTATCAAAACGTAATTATTAATTTAATAGACGGACGATGAACCCTGATCTTATCCACCCTAATATTAAAAATTTAATTTTTAAGCACCTGTGACCCACCTGTTCCCAATACGCCTCAACAACACTGGAGTGTTTTCTTTTCTTTTAATGATATTAAATGAAGTGAAATCAATTTCATCTAAATCCATAATATTGTATTTTGACAGTTATACTAAGGAATAAATTGAATAGTTGTGCGTAAATTGTGTACATTTCCAATAGATATGAATCAGAATATTTGTACCATTACTAGTTGTGTTAAAATAATTTCTCCACTTCACCAAACTTCACTAAATTTCCAACTAACTTACAAGTAAATATTACATGGTAATTTATATACATATATATATATAGTCGATCACCCATGGAATGGCCCAGCAAGGTGGTTTATTACTCGTAATTAAATATCATGAAAAAAAAAATTGGAAAAGAATACATATAAAAAACAAGTAAAAAAAATAGTGATGCAATAATTACATAAATGTTTAATGCATGACTTAAATTCTTAGTAGGTACTATATAAGTAGTTGTAGACTTATAATTGCAAAGCTCAGTGTAGTTAACAAAAATATTCAAAATGTTCCGAGCATGGCCGTTGTGGCCGTTTTTTTTGCCGGTTGTAGTATTTTCCAGTGAAATCGCTTTGATGGTCTAATGTTTCTACCGATACAAAAAACCCAGTTTTACAGAATACGATTAATTCAGAATTGGTCGACAGAAATGCCACGAGACTCGAGCCGGTTTATCCTGAGAGTTGGTTAGCCGATCTTTTCTATCAGTCCTTGGTTGGGTTTTCCGTCACAGATGTTGGAAGTTCCGCTTGTCGACTGCAATCAAAATTGTACTTAAGCCATTTAAAAAATAACTCCTACTGGGCTGTAAAAAGTAAGCGATGATAATTGACCAAATAACTCTCTCTGAGTCTATGTTATGGTTAAAATCTAAACACAAAATATAATATTTTACATTGATATACAATGTCCTTTGTAGTTCTAGGCATTTTGATATTACAATCTTTTTCGCGTAAAAGTTCGGTGAATATACTTTCTCCGGTTTATCTTGGCTACTAAGCACTAATTCTAACTAAATCCATTTGTCTTCATCGACGACAAAATTCCCAAACTCTCACTACCACAAATAACTGCTATCAATCACCAACATGAATTTAATTTCAATCAATACGATTGGAATTAAAATTAAAACAATTCTTTTAAATTTAATTTTAATCCAAATAACACTCTTTGGCGACACAATCTTCATATAATCAAATAGAATATTTTAAAAATATAGCTAAACTTCTCATAATAATGATGATTATTCAATAGGTATACATGTAAAATTAATTTAAAATGACAAAAATATTTTAATTATAGTGTTAAAATAAAATAAATTCAGGTTGATTGTCTGCATTTCTTGTCAAGCTGCAGTTTGTAATTAACTTTAATAGAAGTTTCAGCGCGTCGTTATTTTAGTATAAGATTTGAAGAGGTTTTTAATTTATTTTGAAGGGGATAGGATGAATTTTGAGCTCATAAAGTCGTTTTCGGCTAATAATTATGATCTATAGATTTGGTACATGAAAAAATCGGTTCGCCAATTTAGGGGTTATAGAGGAAGGTAGAGTTATTAAATATTCTATTAAATAGAATATCAATGAACAATACAATTTTAATATTCGAATCGCCTTAGAAATTATTATTTATAACTAGGAAATATACCCAAAGCATTGTCACTAAAACAAAAATTAGAATTTTTTAAACACAAGACATGCAATTAATTTTATATTTTTCATTAGAATACATTTAAATATTATGTGTTGTATAGTAATACATTTAAAATAATATTAACACGTTAATAGGCAACGTTGAATTTTCTAGTGTCCGACTCATGGCCTAGATACCTAAACGGATTATTAATAGGCAATACACATCACATGGGCGTTTATGACGAGTGTATCAGTGTGCACCACCCTATTCAAGGAAAATATTGTATGTCAACAATAAAACTTCAGACTTCAACAAACGAAAACTTCATCCAATTCAGTAAAGATGAGTACGCAAGTTTTGATAACGCATGGCAAGAAATACTTGGGGTAAATATAATTCATTTTTTTTTTATTTGTGCGTAAATTTAACAAATAATTTAATAAGCAAATACCATTGGTTAATAACTAAAAAATACAAGAATCACCATTTATGATATTAGGCATGTCGATAATAGTTTGGTTGTGTACGACACTAAGAAAAGGACAAACTTTTTTAATAAAAACTGTTAGTGAGGTGAAAGAACGGGACAAATTTAAAAAAGATACGGCAGATATCCAAGAGTGATTTTATTAATTGACCATAATATATTTACTGTTCATACTTTTCTTTCAACACCCATCAGGTTTCTCTTCATGTTTTCATCTCCTTTCTTTTTGTTAGTGACCTAGTATCGTTTACGTTAGCCAGAAACACAATCGCTTATACTTTAAATACTACTGAATACATTTTCTTCTAAATTGTCTTAATACATTTTCCTTATTTTAATTTACAGTTTATCGATTATGGTGACCGGTATAAAAGAAATGTTATCAATCTCGGCGTCTGTATACCAGAATCGTGTACATCCGCAGATCTTGAATTGTCATTACAAAGAGAACTCGATCGTATATTCCTGTCTCATCAACTAAAAGCGCAAGTCAAAGTTAAACCGGATTTATGTAACACCAACAAGCATTTTTCCCCTTACGATACAGGATATTATGTAACTTGGTAAGCATGTTATAAAAGCAAAGAAGATGCTCCCATCAGAATTTTAAGCAAATTAAAAATATATCTAAATATCCTTACAATACGTAAGGATACGTAAAATATGTTGAGGTACTATTTTTGGGAATTGGCTCAAAAAGCTATTTAATATTTTACTTATAATCTTAAACAAGAACTTTGTGAATAATTATGCTAATATTTAAAAAATGTTTTCTACGTATGATAAATTTATTTTTAACAGTTTTTAATTCGTAAATATATTAAATGCTCGGTAAATTTTTCGTTTAGTGGTTTTTTTGGATTGCTGTTTTTGATCGTATCATTTTCTACAACTTACCACTTAGTAGCTCTACGCAATGGACATGAAAACCAACCGTGTAAGTACAAAAATTGAAAGTAAATGCTAGGTTTTTGTACTAAAAAAAGTTTTTCAGCTGAGTCGGCAACCACGAAAGAGCATTTTCATTTTTCTTTGAAGTACTAAATAAATTTAGAGTAGTGGTAGAATTATAGATAATGAAATAGTATATTAAGAAGCAGTAACAAGCTAGTATATTAAAACATCAAGTTTCTGGCTAATATTGTGCTAAATATAACATTATGTTTTATTTTTAATTCCAACAAAAACCCTAAGACATAATCTTATAATTTTTTTACAAAAAGAAAAATGTATGCCTCTTTTCTTTTTATATTTGCCAGGAAATCGATTAAAAATAATTGTTTAGTCCATGTTTTATTCCAGCCCAAAATGCGGAGATATTAAATATATTTTCGGTAATAAGAAATGGAAAAGAGCTTGTTAAACATGGTAAGAACAATGAGCTCAATATTTTTAATGGTTTGGCGTCAATCACAATGTTGTTGCTCGTAGTGGCACATGGACTTTTAGTTGGTATCAATCATCCGCGGTTGTACCCGAAACCAGTTGAAGAGGTAAAACGTGTTTTTTCTTTTATTATCGTTTATCACATACAACATCCCATAAATATGTAAAATAAATTTTATTTACTTCATAATTGCAAAATCAATAAAATCCAATATATCTAATCCCATCCTTTTCACCAACTAGTGATAAAAACATACTAATGGTGTATCACTTTTCGTTTATCATAGATTGTTCAAAATACCCACAACAATATCTTACTAACTTTGAATAATGGAATTGACCCTTTTATATTTATGTCTGGTTATTTATTATATATGACAAATATTACCAAGTTCGGAAAACCCGGAAGTCATTGGTTTTATATTCCAAAGATTATTATCTACAAATATCTCAAGTAATCGTTTTTATCGTGATTTACAATTGGCATTACCATTTCATAATCATTATTTCAGATCTCTTCCGGTTCACGTCACAATGTTACTTCTTACAATATTTATTGTCCCTCATATGGGAGGTGGACCTTTTTGGGCAAACCAAATGGGCGTGGAAGCAAACAAATGTAAACAATATTGGTGGACTAATCTATTAGTTATAAATAATTTTGTCGATGGAGAAAAACAAGTGAGTATCAAAATCTAAATTTTACTGAAATAAAAGAGAATAATTGTATAACCATTATAGTAACTTATGTTTAGTGTCTCTACGCCGGTTATTTCATTTCGTTACAACTACAGTTAATGGTTATTGGAATTATGGTCGTTTACATTTATGGAAAAAACCGCAAAATCGGCAATGTTATAATAGCCTTGCTGATTACCGTATCATTAATCATTCCGTTTGCTATAACTTACTACTCGAAATCAGAAGGAATTACCAAATTTAATATATCGTTAGTATTATCTAATATTTCTTCTTATATGAAAAAACAATGTCTTTGTTGTTTGATGGAAGTATCTTGTAGGCTGCGTTTATGAATTGAATCCAGTAGTTTCATATTCTGTTGGAAGCCCATAGCTCTTAAGCAAGTGAACATTTAACTGATTTATGTACAAGCGTTGATTTTAAGGAGAGCTTTAAGGTACAGATTTCAGTGACAATTAGGGTCAGGCCAGTTGTGGGTTATAACCAAATATAAAATTATCTCCTTTGCTGTGCCTAAAAATGAAAAAAAATGTCATGGTAATAGTTCATTTGGTACCCTCCGAAAACTTTAAAAATATTATTCAAATGCTTATCCTTTATAGGACCAAAAAAAACCCGTTTACATAAATACCAAAAACATTGTTTTGAACGATTTTAATTTTACCTCTAAATCATGTTCTTTGGATTTTATCAGTATTGAATTGAAATTACATCTGTATTTGGCAAAGGGTGTGTTCTTGCGAGCAAGACGACGTTGACGTTATTAAAATGTTTTGTAGTACATTTTTACCTTTTATAGATTTACGTTAAATTGGTTTCAATCGACTAGTCCAGACTCATATCATTTCACGTACCTATACAGCCGATTCTATGTACGGGGTTTACCATTCTATATTGGACTGTTAGCTGGTGATATAGTTGACGTTTTAAAAAGAAAACAAGTCAAAATGTCTAAGGTATTTACCTTAGATTGCATAACACTACAGATTACAATTGTTATCATTAAAAAAGAAATATTTTTCAGACAACTACACTAATAACTACTCTGGTAGCCTTTGGTCTTTACATATATGTCCAGTTGTACAGTAATGTATTCTTTAAAAGACATAGGGATTACAATGCAATCGAGTCATCTATTTATTCAGTCATTAACCATTTAAATACGCCCTTAGCTTACATGTGGGTCGCTATCTGTCACACTACTTCTAGTTATGGTACGTAATGTGGAAGCAATCTTATTTTCATAATAGTTTTAAAGTATAAACTTATTTTTCCAAGCATATTGAACCACTGAAATTTTTCCTTTTCAAAAGTGTTCCATTTCTCCATCATCTCTGTTATGCAATGTCCAACACTTACTTCTATACCAACTATTGTTGTCATTTGTACACATTTTCCAGTTAAAGAATGTTTTTGAAAAATGGCCAACGTCAATCAAGTCTAGGATCTAGATAATTTGATAATAACATAATAACAATGTAACTTATATTAATGTTATCAATTATTTCCAGGCTTTCTAGAAAAATTACTGAACAATCGAATAACTGGTTTATTACACAAACTCTCATATTCATTATACCAGGTCAATATTACCGTAATACTAATGATCGATTTCTCTTTAAGGGCATCCGGAGTTCGGTCATTCCCAATAATCGTAAGTTATCAGTTATAATGATTTTCTTCACCTATCTAAACTGGACACTTCCTAACTGGGTATTAAACAAAGTTCTCTTCAAATCCTTTTTCTGAATGAAATGTACGTGTACGGAATCAAGCTGCGATTTATTATTTTAATAAAAAATATGTGTTAACTAGTGCTCGTATTTTGGTACACCTTTGATTTATATATTTTGAATTTTTAGGTAATGACGTTAATTTATATAATATTAACGGTATATATAGCGGCTGTAATATTGTATTTTCTTGTTGACGCGCCGTTTGGTTTATTGACAAGCAGAGTTATTTTGGGAAGGTACGCTATAATCCATCTTACGACTATAAGCAAACCATGTTTTATTAAAATATTATATCAATTTAATTCCTTTTTTTTTTTTTGTAGAAAAACTAGCAGAAAATCTAAAGACGACTGACACCAAAAGAATTTTAAAAAAAAGTTAATCAAAATTACATAAGAATAATTGTGAAAAATTTTAACGTTTAACCCAATCAATTTTGGAAATTCATTAATGATATAAGCAAAAATAATTTCTTACTTTTTAGTCTGCATCTATGTATTGAAGAGTTTAATACACCTAATGATATTATTAATGTTTCTGTAGCTATCTTTCTAGTGTGTATGAAAAGTACGATTGTGTTAATACACAACATGATCTGCCTTAAGGTCTTTTTTCTCCTTTACATCTTTTTTTTTCTCTCCTTTATTGTACTTGTTTAATTTATCACTCTCCACTGGTATTTTCTTTGATGCATAGTAAACTAGTTTTATTCAACGGGTTTCTAAGTCTTCCTCTGATCTATCCTATATCACTAATTACCGGCCAATATCGCTGCTCTCCCTTATACCTAAAGTATTTGAATCGATAGTTGCAAATAATTTTTCATTTGATTTAAATAATACAGTTGTATATGATCAACATAGTTTTAGACGAAATAAGAGTATTTTAACTAATTAACTTAATTTCAAAATGTTGTATCTGACGACCTTTTAAATAAATCAAATGTCGACGTTATTTATTATACTAATTTCACTAAGGCATTTGATAAAGTTAATCATAAAATCTTATTTACAAAATTAAAACAGATTGGTATTTGTGGCTATTTTTTATCATGCTTATACATTTCATTGAAAATTGTCAACAAATTGTAGCTTATAAAGAACATTGGTCTACTAGGTCAAATAAAATCTTAGGCTAAAAATTACGCACAAACACGAGTAAATGAATAATAAAACATTATAATTTATTGTATAAAATTATATCTGGGAAAATTACACAAATGGGAATTTATTTATTTAAAAAAAGACGTGTGAACTCGAGTAAATTAAAATAAGTAGTGTGATATACATAAATATGCCAAGGGCATGACTGTAAGGTCATACAATATAGTCATACAATGATGTATCGTACATTTCAATTCTATAGTCATATAACTATAATTTTTTTTTCATTTATACCATAAAAAAAATCATTGTAAAAAGAATACCTATAAAAAGTACGTATAAAAAAAAGTAAAAAAAATAGTAGTGCAATATTTACATACATGGTTAATGTCTTAATGTAGTCTTACCTTATAGATAGTTGAAGGTATTAATTTACAAAACTCAGTGAAGTTGGCACAGATACTCAAAATGATTCCAGCGCGGGCGTTGTTGACGTTTATTTTGCCGGTTGTTGTATTTTCCAATGAAATCGCTTTTGATGGTTTAAATGTTTCTACCGATACAAAAAACCCAGTTTTACGAAATACTATTAATTCAGAATTGGTCGACAGAAGTGCCACGAGACTCGAGCCGGTTTATCCTAATATTTGGTTAGCCGATCTCTTTTATCAATCATTGGTTGGGTTTTCCGTCACAGATGTTGGAAGTTCCGCATGTCGACTGCAATCAAAATTGTACTTAAGCCATTTAAAAAATAACTCCTACTGGGCAGTAAAAAGTAAGCCATAGTCATTGACCAAGTAACTATAAGTCTATATTACAGTTTAAATCTAGTCGATTTCTTTAATAATAAACTAGTCAGGAGAAGCAAAAAAAAAAATAACATGTGTTATTTGCCAATTAAATCATTGTCCTAAACAACAGAATTAAAAACAACAAAGTCCTATGCATTTTTCTACTACCATCTCTTTCGCCTATAGCCATATTTTTTTTATTTTTTTTTTTTTTATTAAAATCATCATAACTTACAAAATTTCAGTATATAAAAACTGTTTATCTATCTGTTTTAAGCTAAAAGCTTGTGTTAGAGATAGAGAGTTATAGAACTTAACTAAAATTTATGTGCATATATAGCAAATTAACAACAAAAAAGAGAAACAAGAAATACATTTATATATATTCTATTGTATAATCCTTAACATAATTTTAACATAAAAATTTCTAACACTGAACTTTATAGTGTCCGACTCATGGCCTAGATACCTGAACGGATTATTAATAGGAAACACACATCACATGGGCGTTTATGACGAGTGCATCAGTGTGCACCAGCCTATTCAAGGAAAATATTGTATGTCAACAATAGAACTTCAGACTTCATCAAACGAAAACTTCACCCAGTACAGTAAAGATGAGTACGCAAGTTTTGATAACGCATGGCAAGAAATACTCGGGGTAAATATAATTCTTTATATTACGTAAATTTAACAAAAAATTTAATAAGCAAATACCACAGGTTAATAACTAAAAAATACAAGAATCACCGTTTATGATATCAGAAATAACGATAATAGTTTATTTATTAATTGACCATAATATATTTGGTGTTAATACTTCCTTTTAGCACCCATCAGTATTCATCTCGTTTCTTTTTGTTAGTGACCAAGTATCATATACGTTAGCCTGAATTACATTCGCTTATACTTTAAATACTACTGAATACTTTTTCTTCTAAAATGTCTTAATACATTTTACTTATTTTAATTAACAGTTTATCGATTATGGTGACCTGTACAAAAGAAATGTTATCAATCTTGGCGTCTGTATACCAGAAGCGTGTACATCCGCAGATCTTGAAATTTCATTACAAAGAGAACTGGATAGTATATTCCTGTCTCATCAACTAAAAGCGCAAGTCAAAGTTAAACCGGATTTATGTAACACTAACAAGCATTTTTTCCCTTACGACACAGGATATTATGTAACATGGTAAGCATGATAGAAAAGCTAAGAAGATTCTCCCATCAGAATTTTAAACAAATTAAAAAAATCTCTAAATATCCTTAAAATACAAATACGTTAAGGTACTTTTTTTGGGGAATTGGCTCAAAAAGTTATTTTAGATTTTACTTTACATCTAAACAGGACATAATTTAAAATCTTTGTCGATTTCACTACTATATCGCCTTGATTTATCTAATCCATACATTTATTTTAAACAGCTTTTTAATATGTAAATGTATTAAATACTCGGTATATTTTTCGTTTAGCGGGTTTTTTGGCTTGCTGATTTTGATTGTATCATTTTCGACGACTTATCATTTAGTAGCCCTACGCAATGGTCGTGAAAACCAACCGTGTAAGTATAAGAATTGAAAATAAATGCTAATTCTTTTGTATAAAATACTATTATTTAAATAATATATATAATAGTATATTTTATTTGGATTAGAAAAAATATGCTACACTAATTCGGTTTACTCAGAATGTAAAACTGGAAAAATGTGTTTGTTACAATGAGTACAACTTAGATAATAAACTATAAGAAACTAATAAAACTGATTTAGGCAAAAGAGTTTATAAAAATTGTTTTGGTTTGTCAATGTTTATTACTATGTTAAAAGAAATTTAAAAAATATTTGGAACAAATTTGACTATTTTAAAGAAAATTATAGTGCGTTGTTATTTTAAGTTGAAAAATATGGTAATTTGTTTGGTAATTATTAAAGGGGAGAGTGACTTTTTTTAATTTTTGGCCAAAAAAGTACTATTTGATCTATAAATATCAAAGTTGGCACAAAAAAAAATTAATTTAGCGGTTTATTAAGATATTATGGGTCCAGACACAAAAATAATGTAAAACACATCAATGTAAAACAATACCTTCTCAGCTTGTAAGTAAAAATAACTACTGTCTCTCAATATCAGTATCGAAATACTCAGTTTAGACAAAATATACTTAAAAGAACTATAACGAACTATTGACTATATAATATAACATAGAACAAACATATGAATCTTTCCTCTTTATATTTGTTAGAGTATCTATTGAATATAATGTTTTTCGTCCATGTTTTATTTCAGCGCAAAATTTGGAAGTACTAAATATGTTTTCGGTAATAAAAAATGGAAATGATCTTATCAAATATAATAAGGACAATGAGCTCAATATCTTTAATGGTTTGGTGTCAATCCAAATGATGTCGATCGTAATAGGACATGGACTTCTAATTGCTATCAATCACCCGCGGTTGTACCCGAAAAAAATTGAAGAGGTACAACTTGTTTTTTCTTTTATTATTATTCATCGCATTCAACATGCTATAAACATATGAAATAGGTTTTATTGACATTTTGAACTCTTTGCTATGGCACACGCACGGAAAACCGACGCCGACACCGGTTATCATAACGAAAAATATCAGCTGATTTATCTGATAAGAGAGATAAGAGGTAGGGGAGGAGATAGGAGGTGAGAAATGAGGGGGGGGGGGTAAGAGATAGTTGCAAAATCATATAATCCAAAAACATACTAATAATATATCACTTTTTTTTCAGTTTTATCAAAATACCCACCACAATTTTTTTTTAAGTTGGCATAATTCAGTTGACCCTTTTATATTTGTGTCTGGCTACTTATTATACATGACAACTATTCATAAGTTCAGAAAATCCGGAGATAATTGGTTTCTGATTCCAAAGATAATTATGTACAAGTATCTAAAGTAAGCAATGCCCTATTTATCGTGATTCATTTTTTACAATTTACAATAACATTAAAATTGTTTAAAAATTATTCCAGATCACTTCCGGTTCACGTCACAATGTTACTTCTTACAATATTTATTGTCCCTCATATGGGAGGTGGACCTTTTTGGGCAAACCAAATGGGCGTGGAAGCAAACAAATGTAAACAATATTGGTGGACTAATCTATTAGTTATAAATAATTTTGTCGATGGAGAAAAACAAGTAAGTATCAAAATCTAAATTTTACTGAAATAAAAGAGAATAATTGTATAACCATTATAGTAACTTATGTTTAGTGTCTCTACGCCGGTTATTTCATTTCGTTACAACTACAGTTAATGGTTATTGGAATTATGGTCGTTTACATTTATGGAAAAAACCGCAAAATCGGCAATGTTATAATAGCCTTGCTGATTACCGTATCATTAATCATTCCGTTTGCTATAACTTACTACTCGAAATCAGAAGGAATTACCAAATTCAATATATCGTTAGTATTATCTAATATTTCTTCTTATATGAAAAAACAATGTCTTTGTTGTTTGATGGAAGTATCTTGTAGGCTGCGTTTATGATTTGAATCCAGTAGTTTCATATTCTGTTGGAAGCCCATAGCTCTTAAGCAAGTGAACATTTAACTGATTTATGTACAAGCGTTGATTTTAAGGAGAGCTTTAAGGTACAGATTTCAGTGACAATTAGGGTCAGGCCAGTTGTGGGTTATAACCAAATATAAAATTATCTCCTTTGCTGTGCCTAAAAATGAAAAAAAATGTCATGGTAATAGTTCATTTGGTACCCTCCGAAAACTTTAAAAATATTATTCAAATGCCTATTCTTTATAGGACCAAAAAAAACCGTTTACATAAATACCAAAAACATAGTTTTGAACGATTTTAATTTTACCTCTAAATCAAGTTCATTGAACTTTATCAATTATGATTTAAGAAATGCATCTGTATTTGTTATAGCACGTATTCTTATCTTTAACGTTTTCTTGTCGCGTTCAATTTATTAAAATGTTTTAATCGATTTCTTTTATAGAAATGTGTTAAAAGTGTTTCAATCGACTAGTTCAGCACCATACCATTTCACGTACCTATACAGCCGATTCTATGTACGGGGTTTACCATTTTATATTGGACTGTTAGCTGGTGATATTGTCGAAGTTTTAAAAAAAAAACAAGTCAAAATGTCTAAGGTAATTGCATAACATTACAGATTACAATTGTTTTTGATTAAAAAAAATGTATTTTTCAGACAACTACTTTTATAACTACTCTAGTAGCCTTTGGTCTTTACATATATGTCCAATTGTACAGTAATGTATTCTTTAAAAGACATAGGGATTACAATGCAATTGAGTCATCTATTTATTCAAGCCTTAACCATCTAAATACGCCCTTACTTTACATGTGGATCGCTATCTGTCACACTACTTCTAGTTATGGTAAGTAATGTCAATGCAATCTTATTTTTACAACAGTTATTAAGTATAAACTTATTTTTGCATGCAGATTCAACCACTAAAATATTCCTTTTAAAAGAGTAATTAATTTTCTCCATCATCACTCTTATGCAATTTACAACATTTACTTCCATAGAAGTTGTTCTTTGTATTGTTGTTCTTTTGTACACATTTTCCAGATAAAGATGTTTTTGTTTTTTAAACGTAAACACTCATTTTCTAATGAGTGTTTACGAAAATAATTATAATTTTGTAGTTTTTAATTTGTTCGCTTAATTCTAATTTTATCAACTTTTAACATCTAAATGGTATACATATTATATTAAAAAAATAAAAATAGTTAACTATTTAAAACTATAGTAGCTGTTACTGAATTTCAATAAATTTCAACGATTAAAGTTTTTAAACAAGTCGGAACGTTGAATGCATTAATAGAATGATAAAACTAAAGATAATAATAAAACTATACTCCAACCTTCCTCTCGACCTAAATATTAAACTTTTAAGAGTTAAAACGTAGTTTTTGAAAACTTTAAATATTCCAATCAAATCTAGGAAACTAAATTATTTGATTATAACTTAATCAACTTTTTTCCAAAATGGAAAAACTACAAAACAGCAATATTTTAAGTAATAGTGAGCATTTTATAATAAATGTATCATCCTGTACATGAAATAACAGGATAATTTTTTTTAATGTTATCTATTATTTCCAGGATTTCTAGAGAAAATGTTGAACAATCGATTCATTGGTATATTACACAAACTCTCATATTCACTATACTTGGTCAATTTTACCGTAATTTTAATGATTAATTTTTCTGCGCGGGCATCCGAAGTTTCCTCAACACAAATACTCGTAAGTTGTTAGTGATAATGATTTTTCTCACCTATCATAACCCGACCTAAACATACTGGGTATTAAAATAAGTTCTCGTCAAATCCTTATTCTTAATGTAATGTACTTGTACGGAATCAAGCTGGGATTCATTATTTTGATCAAAGTTATGTTATTAACTAGTGTAAGAAATCCCTTATTTTAATATAATATTTTTTAATTTTAGGTAATGACAACAATTTATACGATTTTTACGACATATTTAGCGGCTCTAATAATGAATTTTCTTGTTGACGCGCCGTTTGGTTTATTGATAAACAGAGTTATTTTGGGGAGGTTTGCGATATTTTCTTATGACTATAAGTAACCATGTATTGTTAAAATATTATATATATTTAATTCCTTTTTTTTTTGTAGAAGAACTAGCACAAAATCTAAGGACAATTGATACCAGAAAAATTCAAAATTTGAAACAAACAAAATTACATGACAAACTTATAAATACACCATACTAAAAACATTTAACAGAATATAAACTTTCTATACATTTATTTAACTTCAGGTGGTTGAACATTTTTATTAATTATTAAATTTAATTTTTTGAATTAGTGAAGTTGGTAATTTAATTTTGTAGGAATTACATAGTTGTTTATTTATAATTATCCTTTTTTTTCTTCTTTTGTTATTACCCATCACTGTATATTATAAATCAATATATATATTAAATAACTTATGTAATTTAACACTTTGATTATTTTTATTGATTGAATCTATTAAAATCACTAGCCAAACTTCTTAATGAAAAAAAAAATAATAAAAAGTGAAAACTACATTTTGATCGTAGTCAATTCCTAGGTTGCGATGTGTTAGTAAATCAACAGGCTACAGTTAGCTAAATAATATTTTGATTATTTTGTTAATTACCATATATGGGTAAGTAAATTTTAAAACTAAAGTATTATAGATAGACGACCAACCCTAATTATATCCACCATAATACTAAAAATACATTATTGAAAACATTATTATTATTAGGTACAATGCGTTTATCAATATTTAAATAAAGTTCTGCCTATACCAATACAGTATAAACTAAGTACAGTCTAAACCAAGTACAGTTTAAATCAGTACATTCGATACCAAGAGCAATATAAACCAGCAAACAATAATTTAATCAAAAACTATTTTATCAGTATTAAGATTTATGTCTTAATCGTAAATCATATAAAATACAGAATTTGAGTTAAATTATAAAATATTAATCAACTAAAAGCTTGATATTTGAATAACTATAATAAAAAATTATAATCAAATATAAAATATAAAAATCTTTTAGTTTATATGAAGACAGCTACAACGTTCATAAAACATCAAATCTAACTTAAATTTACGTTAAAAAAAAGATTTATCAACTCTACATAATATGGAGTGACTTTCAAGTAAAAATAACTACTATGTTTTAACATTTAATATTAAAAATTCGCATAAGATACTTAATCTAAAACAATATTATCGAGAATTATGTTATTATATCATTTTAGTTTTAGTTTACATATGACGAACTTGGCCTTTTTTATTATAATGTATTTAGGTTTGATACAAACATAAATACTAGTTCTTATAACAGAGGTGGCGGAGTTATGATTTGTGTAAATAAAAAGTATATTGCTGAATTAGTATCTTCTCCGATTAATAATGTTGAACAACTATTTATATCAGTCAATTCTTACCACAACACTAAATGTATAATCGGTTCAGTTTATTTACCTCCTCTGTGCACGGTGGAAACGTACTTATGCCATGTTCAAACGGTAGAGTGAATTTTATCAAATCCTGGTGATAATGCTAACCTGTTGCTTATCGGCGACTACAATTTACCCAACATTCACATCAATAATGATTTCCATGGTCTGTCATTTGACGGACCGTTGTCGCCGAAATTGCTTGCGATTGTTGAAAATTTTGCTCGCTTTAACTTTCGTCTATTTAACTCGGCACGACTCAATACAACCGGTTCTACTTTAGATTTAGTATTTTCAAACTTGAACAACTTTGATAACTGCCACCCACCGTTAAATATTAGTTTTATCTTCGAACCTAAACTGAATGCTATGAATTTAACTGAATGTAAATATAATTTTAAGCGCGATGACTTTTCAGCTCTTTGTTCTCATTTAGCGATGGTGGATTGGCTTAACAGTTTTAATGGTAAGGATGTGGATACGGCCACAAATATTTTTAATGATACTGTCTTAAGTGCCTTGGATTTGTTTATTTCTAAATTCACTTCATATCAGGATTCTTTCCCCCCATGGTTTACGTTAGAACTAATAAATATGATTCGCTACATGCGTGTATTCATTGTTGTTTACCTGAAGTTTTCAAGTAATAGAGACACGTATGTACTAGAATTTAAAAAAAATATAGTTTAAAAAAACTAAAAACACGCTTAAATAGTAAAAAAACTAAAAAGTAAAAAATAATTTTCAATATAGAAATCAATTAATAAAAATTTTCAATATAGAAATCAATTAATAAAAAATAAATAGTATTATTGTGAAAAAAGTGTGGGGCGCTTTTCAAGAACTGATATATGTATCACCCCACGCTTTTTTCACAATAATACTATTTATTTTTTATTAATTGATTTCTATGTTGAAAATGTTTAATAATTGATTTATACATTGAAAATTATTTTCTACTATTTAGTTTTTTTACTATTTAAGGGTGTTTTTAGTTTTTTTAAACTATATTTTTTACCGGACGATTGCTCGCCCAACAAACGGAGCGCCTGTGACCGAGTGTCGAACCGGCGACAGTGAGCGCTAACTCACTGCCGCCTTACCCACTCGGCCACTCCTCCATTAGGTTTCATTAGGAGAAATTTTTATAATTTTTCAAGTTTAATGTGCACCAGAACTCTGTATATTAGTTTAGTTCCTTCAATTTTAGAGTATGGCTCCATACTGCAGAGTCCAGTCCAAAGTGGACTTACTGACGACTAAGAACGTGTCCAAGACTGTTTTTTCGTACAGTAAGCTTTAAATTTAATATGTAAACTGAGCATAGAAATTCAATTATTCAAGTCTTTATTAAATCTCGATAAGCTCACATACAGACGTAAGCTAAATTATTTAGTTTTTATTCACACTTATTTATTAAAACTATTGCCTTCGAATCGTTAAATTTAAATTATTATTATTATTGACAAATTTAGAATAATATGTACATACAAGTATAGGTAAAAAATAATTTTCAAAATATTCATATTTTCCGAGTAAATGAGTGTCTTCCGTTAGTTGGATCACCCTGTATACGGGTTAAATAGAGGACCTTGGTATTATTTTCCCTTGAAACATTGGAACAACGACTTTTGCAATTAGATTTCTTCTTTTCATATAAGTTTATTGTCGGTACTTTTTGTATTCGTTTTTTTAGAAAGGCGGTGAAAATGCATTAACATCAACATATGTTACATTATTATTTCCTCTGCAGAATTACATATTTAACATAAAATGCTCAATGTTGCCAGAAAAATTTCGCAAAAATAGTCTGGGGAATAATTTTATATTTTATTTAATTAAAACGAAATCAAGGAAAATTACACTTAGGTAAATTTATTAATTAAAGTTAAACTTTTAAACAATAATAGAGAATAATAATAATAAAATAATAAAAATTATTTAAATATTTTAATTTTCTTGGGAAATTTAAACTTTATTGTTTATTTAATTAAGATTATAAAAAAAAAAAAACCAATTTGAAATTTAATCATACATTTTTAATTTAAAAAACTGTGTGCCTCATTGGAAACTTAAATCTTATGTTATTCATTGACTCGTCTATTTAATGATTCAAATAGTATATTATATAAACATATTTTTTATTCAAATCTTTGAAATTGCATAATTTGGATTCCATTTTTCTACTAAGAAATTATAAATTAAATTATAAAATACAATTGCTGGCAAAAACGTTCTGAACAGTGCATATATTGTTTTCATTTAATATCATTAAAAAAAACATATAGGAAAAACTAAGTATAGTTCAAAGAATTTTTATATATATATTCATTTTTTTATATGTTAATATTTTTAACATCTCTATACCTGATAAGAGCAATATACCTCGTTTTGAACTAACTATGTCAGACATAATTATGTGTAGTAACATAAATCATATGTTTAAGTTTTAACTATATTTATTAAACTATACTTTTGTTATAACATATTATATATTCAAATTCATGCTATATGTGACATTTTTATATAACTATCATGTTATTATTATTCAATATACAACGCGCGTAGTGTGATATAGAACCTCTTTGAATAATTTCAATAAACTTTAAATACTCTAATAGATAGCGTACATACTCATGAGAGGCGTAATATTTACATAACAATAAGTTCATTAAAGAAGGGGTCGGACACATGACTCGACACGAACTTAACCGACACGAACTTAACCAACACAAAAACGCACTATTTAACCCAGCCTACAGCGCAGCGAAGCGCAGTTGTCTTCTTACATCTCTCATTCAACCTTTCTTTCCTTATTGTGTGGACGCCAAAGTCGGGTAGCTGTTATCAGTCCGCCGCGGCCACCAATATCCTTCCTTATTGTGTGGACGCCAAAGTCGGGTAGCTGTTATCAGTCCGCCGCGGCCACCAATATCCTAATCCTTCCTTACTATCCTTACACACTCATACGCTAAGTGCGTCGCGATACATAAAAAATACTATATTCATTACAATTCAATCACTTAAATATTTTAAACCGTACGAGTTTCTTATCACACACGTATCATTATTAACCAACAAAAACACTGTTGTTCTTTCGTTCATTATATATTCATATACCTATACCTAATTACTTTCCTCTTAAAGGTATCGTTAAAGGACATTAATTCTAGCGGTCGAACAATCCTATTACACCCATGTGACTATTTTTGGTCAGCAAGGAATGTAGTCGGCTTATAATAACTCAGTAGACGTTGTTATTTCTGACAAGCGCATTGATTATTATAAAACCATTGGTAGACCGTGTACTGAATTACACTTTAACGAGAAACAGATGGTCGTAAGATAACGTTAAAACACCAGTGTCTGAAATATTTTATGAATGAAAACATTCGCGTTAAAACAACGTTCATCTCGACATATCAAGATCACATACTCAAGGAATATCGACAAGGTCATAGAGCTTCGAGTAACTCCACGACAAGGTATGTACTATATACAATATTATAACACTGTGTAATAGTAAGTCTAGAGGCAGGAAGTGAGCCCTTGAAGTAAATATACACACATGCACACCCCGATTAAGAGACTTTACATATATATTTAAAATACCCATTCACCGCCGCTTACCCGAGCTTTTCTTCTATTACATATGGGACCTGTGGGAATAAGATTTAGCTATAGTCCTGGTCCAGATGATGTTTCCGAAATTATCTTAAATCCGTGTAGGCATTCCTTCCAATACAAATTATTTTTAATTGGTCTCTAAAATGTGGACATCTTCAGTCCTTGAGGAAACTTAGTTATTAGGTTCCTATTTCAATTCCGGTTGCAAGTCCTCTTTAACTAAATATAGGCTTATATCTAACCTATCATCACTTCCTAAATTGTTCGAAAACTTTAAGAACAACCATTATCAAGATCTTTAAAAAAAATACTTTTATTTAATTAACATAGATTTATATCAGGTTAGTCTACTGAAACTAATCTTCTAAACGCTTACACTGATTTATTAGAACCTGTAGAAGCTGGCCTACAAGTTGAAACAAAATAAAATACTGAAATCCGTAAAGCGTGCGATACAGTAAATCCTGACAACCTTGTTTCTAAGTTAAATTCAGCTAGAATCTCCGGTAATCTCTTAAACTAGTTCAGGCCTTATTTAACAAACCGTTATCAAAATTAAATCATATTTGTATACTCAATTGGTAATAAAAATGTATTTAAGTCTGACATTATAAACGATGTTATCTTCCATTTAAATCTTCCTTTTCAACTCACATAGAGCAAGTGTGCCTAAAAGCATACCTCCACGAAAATATTTTGCAGCGAGGGACCGTGGGAAAATGTGCATTTGAAAAATGACACAAATGGTAATTAAATACATAATTATGTTAAATTAAAAACTATACGTTATTTGTTTCCCGGAAAATATGAAATTATATACTAAAAAAGAAAATAATGATGTAACCTATTTGAATGTTGAAATGGTCTTAGAATCAAAACTTTATAGTTTTTTTAATTATAATGATTTCCGTAGAACCACGCATTTGAATTTTTTAATTAAAAAAAGAAATTAACACAAGTAAAGAAAAATAAGTAGTGGAATAACCAAATAGGCCATGACTTAAAATTATAATACGGACTACATAGATAGCTTAAGACATTCATTTGCAAAACTCGGTGTAGTTGACATAGATACTCAAAATGTTTCGAGCGTGGGCGTTGTTAACGTTTATTTTGCCGGTTGTAGTATTTTCCAGTGAAATCGCTTTTGATGGTCTAACTGTTTCTACCGATACAAAAAACCCAGTTTTACAGAATACGATTAATTCAGAATTGGTCGACAGAAATGCCACGAGACTCGAGCCGGTTTATCCTTGGTTAGCCGATCTCTTTTATCAATCATTGGTTGGGTTTTCCGTCACAGATGTTGGAAGTTCCGCATGTCGACTGCAATCAAAATTGTACTTAAGCCATTTAAAAAATAACTCCTACTGGGCAGTAAAAAGTAAGTGATGGTCATTGACCAAGTAACTATAAGTCTATATTATAGTTTAAATCTAGTCGATATTTTTAATAATAAACTGGCCGGGAGAAGCAAAACAAAAAATAACATGTGTTATTTGCCAATTAAATCATTGTCCTTAACAACAGAATTAAAAACAACAAAGTCCTATGCATTTTTCTACTACCATCTCTTTCGCCTATAGCCTTATTTTTTTTATTAAAATCATCATAACTTACAAAATTTCAGTATATAAAAATTGTTTATGATTATCTATCTGTTTTAAGCTAAAAGCTTGTGTTAGAGATAGAGAGTTATAGAACTTAACTAAAATTTATGTGCATATATAGCAAATTAACAACAAAAAAGAGAAACAAGAATATAAAAATAATAAACAAGTTAAACACAACAATAGAAGCTAAGCTTATAATATTTTAACTTATTAGAGAGAACAACCAATTATATACTAATTTTTTAGCATTATTTTGAGAGAGCTGAATATTTTTTTTATACAGACATGGTATTGAGATATTATAAGTCAATATTCTTTTATTTGTTTATCTTAGCTCTTAAGCACTAATTTAAACTATATCCATGTATATTCATCGTAGAAAATATTCCCTAAAAATTACTACTACACTTTATTGCTACAATCAATAGCGATTGTCACAATTAGTAGTGATTGTAATTAGAAGGAAACCGTTCTTTTAAATTTTATTTTTATGCAAACTACACCCTTTATCGACACAGCACTTTTACAATAAATCATTTTTTAATTTAGTTATACTCTTCACAGTAATAATGCTTTTAAAATTATCTAGACATATTAAATTATTTAACATTGTGAAAAAATTGTAATTATAGCGATAGAGTAAAAGGACATTTCCAGTTGCAAACAAACTTTTATACATTTTAAAGCAACAAATTAGTATGCCAACTTAGGCAGAATTGTTAAATATTCTATTAAATATAAGATCAATGGTGAATACAATTTAAACATTCTAATTGCCTCAGAAATTTAAATAGTTTATTGTATTTATACAATATTTGAAAAATTTACTCAAAATTGTAAAATATTTAAGTGTATTATGTTTTGACTCTAAAACAAATATTACAACTTTTTAAACATACACATATTATAATTAAAAATTATATTTTACATTTTTCATTGGAATACATTTCAGTATATTTTATTTCATAACGAATAGTAGTGCAATATTTACATAAAGAGATAATGCTTGACTTAAAGTCGTAGTAGATACTATTAATTCAATACATCAAACCCAGATGTTTCCTCTGCAAATTTGCACAGCTATCTTATCCTTATAGCCGAATGGTATAATAAATGGCGTTTAAAACCTAAATAGAACAAATCAATAATATTGTTAGCAGGTCAAATAAAATCTTAGGCGTAAAATTACGCTTCAACACAAATAAATAAAACATGATTTATTTAATTAAAATGATATCTGGGAAAATTACAAAAATGAAAATATGTTCATAAAAAAAAATACGTGCTAACTAAAATATACCAAGGGCGTGACTATACCCTATGCTATATCGTTCATTACCATTCTATAGCTATATAACTATAGCCGCTCTAACATTTGGTGATTTCCCATGGACCTAGCAAAGATCTTCTTTCATTAAATATCATATAAAAAAAATCATAGTTGATAGTTTACATATCGAAAATTCGCCTAAAAACAAGTAAAAAGAATAGTAGTGCAATATTTACATAATTGGTTAATGTATGACTTAAAGTCATAGTAGTGTTATATGATGACCACGTCACATAGGTCACGTAGGTTACATATTTTTTTAATAATTGCGGGCAGTGCTTCCGGTGACTTGAGACTGATGACCAAACGATTAAACTAACAATAAAGCTTAATTGCAAATTGTATAACGGCAAAAATTGTATAATATATATAAATGTATCTGAATACATTTATATATATTGTATTGTATAATCCTTAACATAATTTTAACATAACAATTTCTAACATTGAATTTTATAGTGTCTGACTCATGGCCTAGATACCTGAACGGATTATTAATAGGCAACACACATCACATTGGCGTTTATGACGAGTGCATCAGTGTGCATCAGCCTATTCAAGGAAAATATTGTATGTCAACAATAGAACTTCAGACTTCAACAAACGAAAACTTCACCCAGTACAGTAAAGATGAGTACGCAAGTTTCGATAACGCATGGCAAGAAATACTTGGGGTAAATATAATTAATTTTATTTTATTTGTGCGTAAATTAAACAAATAAATTAATGAGCAAATACCATTGGTTAATAACTACAAAATACAAGAATCACCATTTATGATATTAGGAATGTCGATAATAGTTTGGTTGTGTACGACACTAAGAAAAGAACAAACTTTTTTTATAAAAACTGTTAGTGAGGTGAAAGAACGGGACCAATTTAAAAAAGATACGGCAGATCTCCAAGAGTGATTTTATTACTTGACCATAATATATTTGCTGTTAATACTTTCCTTTCAACACCCATCAGTTTTCATCCTCCTCTCTTTTTGTTAGTGACCAAGTATCATATACGTTAGCCAGAAATACATTCGCTTATACTTTAAATACTACTGATTACTTTTTCATCTAAAATGTCTTAATACATTTCACTTATTTTAATTAACAGTTTATCGATTATGGTGACCGGTATAAAAGAAATGTTATCAATCTCGGCGTCTGTATACCAGAAGCGTGTTCATCCGCAGATCTTGAAGTTTCATTACAAAGAGAACTCGATCGTATATTCCTGTCTCATCAACTAAAAGCGCAAGTCAAAGTTAAACCGGATTTATGTAACACTAACAAGCATTTTTTCCCTTACGACACAGGATATTATGTAACTTGGTAAGCATGTTAGAAAAGCTAAGAAGATGCTCCCATCAGAATTTTAAACAAATTAAAAAAATCTCTAAATATCCTTAAAATACAATTAAGTTAAGGTACTTTTTTTGGGAATTGGCCCAAAAAGTTATTTTAGATTTTACTTTACATCTAAACAGGACATAATTTAAAATCTTTGTCGATTTCACTACTATATCGCCTTGATTTATCTAATCCATACATTTATTTTAAACAGCTTTTTAATATGTAAATGTATTAAATACTCGGTATATTTTTCGTTTAGCGGGTTTTTTGGCTTGCTGATTTTGATTGTATCATTTTCGACGACTTATCATTTAGTAGCCCTACGCAATGGTCGTGAAAACCAACCGTGTAAGTATAAAAATTCAAAATAAATGCTAGTTCTATTGTTTTAAATACTATTATTTCAATGATATATATAATAGTATATTTTATTTGGATTAGAAAAAGTATGCTACACTAATTCGGTTTACTCAGAATGTAAAACTGGAAAAATTTGTTTGTTACAATGAGTACAACTTATATAATAAACTATAAGAAACTAATAAAACTAATTTTGGTAAAAGAGTTTATAAAAATTATTTTGGTTTGTCAATGTTTATTACTATGTTTAAAGAAATTTAAAAAATATTTGGAACAAATTTGACTATTTTAAAGAAAATTATAGTGCGTTGTTATTTTAAGTTGAAAAATATGGTAATTTGTTTGGTAATTATTAAAGGGGAGAGTGCCTTTTTTTAATTTTTGGCCAAAAAAGTACTATTTGATCTATAAATATCAAAGTTGGCACAAAAAAAAATTAATTTAGCGGTTTATTAAGATATTATGGGTCCAGACACAAAAATAATGTAAAACATCAATGTAAAACAATACCTTCTCAGCTTGTAAGTAAAAACAACTACTGTCTCTCAATATCAGTAACGAAATACTCAGTTTAGACAAAATATACTTAAAAGAACTATAACGAACTATTGACTATATAATATAACATAGAACAAACATATGAATCTTTCCTCTTTATATTTGTTAGAGTATCTATTGAATATAATGTTTTTCGTCCATGTTTTATTTCAGCGCAAAATTTGGAAGTACTAAATATGTTTTCGGTAATAAAAAATGGAAATGATCTTATCAAATATAATAAGGACAATGAGCTCAATATCTTTAATGGTTTGGTGTCAATCCAAATGATGTCGATCGTAATAGGACATGGACGTCTAATTGGTATCAATCATCCGCGGTTGTACCCAAAACCAGTTGAAGAGGTACAACGTGTTTATTCTTTTATTGTCATTCATCGCATACAACATGATAAAACATATAAAATAGGTTTATTTACTTCGTTATTGCGAAATCATAAAGTCCAATATACCTAATACTATCCTTTTCATCAACCAGTGATAAAAACATACTAATGATGTATTACTTTTCGTTTATTTTAGATTCATCAAGATACCCACAACAATTTGGTATTATCATTCAATAATGCAATTGACTCTTTTATATTTATATCTGGTTACTTATTATACATGACAACTATTAATAAGCTCAGAAAACCCGGATGTGATTGGTTTCAAATCACAAAGATAATTATCTATAAATATCTGAAGTAATCGCTGCGTTTTATATCGTGATAAATTTTCTACAATTTACAATAAACGTTAAATTTGTATAAAAATTATTCCAGATCACTACCGGTTCATGTCACAATGATAATTCTTACAATATTTATTGTCCCCCATATGGGAAATGGACCTTTTTGGGCAAACCAAATGGGTGTGGAAGCAAACCAATGTAAAAAATATTGGTGGACTAATCTATTAGTTATAAATAATTTTGTCGATGGAGAAAAACAAGTGAGTATCAAAATCTAAATTTTACTGAAATAAAAGAGAATAATTGTATAACCATTATAGTAACTTATGTTTAGTGTCTCTACGCCGGTTATTTCATTTCGTTACAACTACAGTTAATGGTTATTGGAATTATGGTCGTTTACATTTATGGAAAAAACCGCAAAATCGGCAATGTTATAATAGCCTTGCTGATTACCGTATCATTAATCATTCCGTTTGCTATAACTTACTACTCGAAATCAGAAGGAATTACTAAATTCAATATATCGTTAGTATTTTCTAATAATTTTAGCAATAGAAGTGTTTAACTGTTTTAGACGAAAATCCATTCGTGGACACAGGAGTACACAGTGCGTACTCTTATTAGCAAGGCAACGTTCACGTTATTACATTTTTACCTTTTATAGGTTTTCGTTAAATTTATTTCAATCAAGTAGTTCGGCCTCATATCATTTCACGTACCTATACAGCCGATTTTATGTACGGGGTTTACCATTTTATATTGGACTGTTAGCTGGTGATATTGTCGAAGTTTTAAAAAAAAAACAAGTCAAAATGTCTAAGGTAATTGCATAACATTACAGATTACAATTGTTTTTGAATAAAAAAAAATGTATTTTTCAGACAACTACTTTTATAACTACTCTAGTAGCCTTTGGTCTTTACATATATGTCCAATTGTACAGTAATGTATTCTTTAAAAGACATAGGGATTACAATGCAATTGAGTCATCTATTTATTCAAGCCTTAACCATCTAAATACGCCCTTACTTTACATGTGGATCGCTATCTGTCACACTACTTCTAGTTATGGTAAGTAATGTCAATGCAATCTTATTTTTACAATAGTTATCAAGTATAAACTTATTTTTGCACGCATATTTAACCACTCAAATATACCCTTTAAAAAAGTATTCAATTTGTCCATCATCTCTCTTATGCAATGTACAACACTTCTTTCCATACTGTATTCCTACTAATTTATAAAACTGTAAATATAATATTACACATGTAATTGGGTTGTCAAACCCGTTAAATTCAAATAAATAAATATAAAAACTAATAAATAAATACAAATTATTGTTGTCCTTTTGTACACATTTTCCAGATAAAGATGTTTGTGTTTTTTAAACGTAAACACTCATTTTCTATGAAAATATTATAATTTTGTAGTTTTTAATTTGTTCGCTTAATTCTAATTTTATCAACTTTTAACATCTAAATAGTATAATATTATATTTAAAAAAAAAAAAATAGTTAACTATTCAAAACCATAGTAGCTCTTTTTTAATTTCAATAAGTTTTCAATTGTTAAAGTTTAAAAACAAGTCGGAACGTTGAATGCATTAATAGAATGATAAAACTAAAGATAATAATAAAACTATACTCCAACATTCCTCTCGACCTAATTATTATACTTTTAAGAGTAAAACGTAGTTTTTGAAAACTGTCTATAGTCCAATCAAATCTAGGAAACTAAATAATTTGATAATAACTTAATCAACTTTTTTCCAAAATGGAAAAACTACAAAACTTCCGTACTTTAAGTAATAGTGTGCATTTATAATTAATATATCATCCTGTAGAGAAAATAACAGGATAATTTATTTTAATGTTATCTTTCATTTCCAGGATTTCTAGAAAAATTGCTTAACAATCGATTCACTAGTTTATTACACAAACTCTCATATTCACTATACCAGGTCAATATTACCGTAATATTAATGATTATTTTTTCTGCGCGGGCATCCGAAGTTTCCTCAACACAAATACTCGTAAGTTATTAGTAATAATGGTTTTTCTCACCTATCATAACCCGACCTAAACATACTGGGTATTAAACTAAGCTCTTGTCAAATCCTTAATCTGAGTATAATGTACATATACAAAATCAAGCAGGGATTCATAATTTTTATAAAAATTATGTTGTTAACCTGTGTAAGGTGTTGTAAGACAAAACGAACGTAATAGACACTCCTGATTTATACACAAGTTGAACTGAAACTGACACTTGTCAGAGAACAAGAGTTTAACCGATTGCTGTCCAGGTTCTTCGAGGATGTCACTGAATTAAAAAGAATTAGAGATTAAGAAAGGATAGGTACAAGCGGCGTACGAGTCGCAAGACACGGGTACTTTAAGAAAGGAATGTGCACCATGCAAGATAAGTGCATGAGGAGAGAGTAGAGACTACTAAATGTTAAATGAACAAATACTCGAACTTAAACCTTGTAGACGGACAGCGACAACCGAGTACTCTTGACTGATGGTTACGGTGGACATGTGTTTACGGTAAAGTCGACTGACGAAATATCATTTAATTTAATTGTCTTTTATATTGTTTTACATTTTGCAACTAAGCGTGAAGTTAATTTAATTGTTTAGTAATTAGTCTCGAGTCGTCGTAAGCACTGCCCATATTTATTTTTATAAATTTACCTATATTGATGATGTGGTCATATGACATAGGTTACCCTTATTATAATATATTTTTTAATTATAGGTAATAAAATCAATTTATATAATATTTACGGTATATATAGCGGCTGTTGTGTTGCATTTTCTTGTTGACGCGCCGTTTGGTTTATTGATAAACAGAGTTATTTTTGGAAGGTATGCTATACTCATTTTATCATATAAGCAAGCCATATATTATATAGATTTATTTCGTTTTTTTGTAGAAGACCTAGCACAAAATCAAAAGAAAATTGACACTAAATGAATTCATAAAAATATTATCAAAATTACAGAATCAAAATTCAGAAAGTTTTAAATGTTCAACCCAATCAATTTTGGATATTCATTAATGATATAAGCAAAAATAATTTCTTACCTAATAGTATGAGTCCTGAGTTGTTTAATGCCAAGTGTATTTCTAAAAAATTGTAACTTTGTTCTTTCCCATCCTTTATTGTACTTGTCTAATTTAGCACTCTCCAACGGTATTATCCCTGATGCATGGAAAACTAGTACTATAACTAATTTACTTCTTATCAAACTTTTGTATCTGACGCCCTTTCAAATGGATCAAATGTCGAGGTTATATACACCGATTTGACTAAGGCATTCGATAAAATTAATCATAAAATCATATTTAGAAAATTTAAACAGATTGATATTTGTAGCTATTTTCTATCCCGGCTTGTATCTTTCATTGAACATCGTTGCCAAATAGTAGCTTTTATTTTATCTAACCATACAAGTAACTAACTATGCACCCCTAACTAACTAATATCCCCCTCCCCAAGCATCAAAACGATGAAAACCATAAATGAATTATAAATAAGATGTTCATCTCACCAAACTTTTCTCATTTGCAACTTATTGTAATTGAATACTAAATAATTTATAGCTAAATATAGTATGTAATATTTTATCTTTATATTGTTTTATTTTATTTATCATACTATTGTTACACCTCTATCGTAGAATACATTTTCTATAATAGCTTTATTATAACGTGCGTTTTTCATTGTAAAACTTTTTTGTTTCTTGTTATACTTTTAATATAAATATCGTATTTTCTCACCAAACGGTTTGTTTTTTTGAAAATTTCTCTAAAAGAATACATTTTTCTCATTCTATTTCACCTCAAACTTAATAAAATATTTTTGTATGTACATTAATATGTATGAAGTCAAGGTGGGCAACTGTAACATAAGTGTAACTTTTACATTGTATTATACATTTACTTTACTCTTTACGTAAATACCAAAAACATGGTTTAAAACGATTAATTTTACCACTAATTAAAATTCTTTGGACTTTATCAATCATGATTTAAGAAATGCATCTGTATTTTTATAGTATGTATTCTTATCATTAAGGCAACGTTCGATTTATTAAAATGTTGTAATCAAGTTTGCTTTAACATACTACTCGAAATTAGACGGAATTACCAAATTCAGTTTATCGTTAGTATTTTCTAGTATTTATTTTTTATATGATAAAAGTTGCTAGTAGGCTTTGTACATGCAGATCAAATCTAGTGGCATTACACTGAAAGCTAAAAACCATCAAGCAAGTAGTACTTAAATGGAAAAAAAAATGTATTTTTTTGTCAAGAAATGTATTTTCAAACTGACTTGAAAGTCAAGTAGGATATCTTATGGCCAGATGTGGGTTATGACCAAATATTAAATCCGTCAGTGGTCATAGAGGTCGCCATTGCCGAGATTGAGCCTAAAAAAGATATTGTATTGAAGATTCGCAAAAATGAGCTCAATAACATCTCTGAAAAAATGTTGTTTAAAAATGTATTTCAGTACACTTCGGTAACTGTTTTAAACGAATATTCCATTTATATCGATCAAAAACTAATTTTATTAGTATTGAATTGAAAATACATCTGTATTTTGCTAAGCGTATAGTCTTATCAGTAAAGTAACGTTTATGTTATTAAAATATTTACATTATTTTTTTTTTGATAGATTTCTGTTAAACTTAAGTCAATCAACTAGTTCAGCCTCATATCATTTCACGTACCTATACAGCCGATTCTATGTACGGGGTTTACCATTTTATATTGGACTGTTAGCTGGTGATACTGTCGAAGTTTTTAAAAAAAAACAAGTAAAAATGTCTAAAGTAATTGCATAACGCCACAGATTACAATGGTTTTCGTTTAAAAAAAAAATGTTTAGACAACTACTTTTATAACTACTCTGGTTGCCTTTGATCTTTACATATATGTCCAATTGTACAGTAATGTATTCTTTAAAAGACATAGGGATTACAATGCAATTGAGTCATCTATTTATTCAAGCCTTAACCATCTAAATACGCCCTTACTTTACATGTGGATCGCTATCTGTCACACTACTTCTAGTTATGGTAAGTAATGTCAATGCAATCTTATTTTTACAATAGTTATTAAGTATAAACTTATTTTTGCACGCAGATTCAACTACTAAAATATCTCCTTTAAAAGAGTATTCCATTTCTCCAACATCTGTCTTATGCAATGTACAACACTTACTTCCATACAAATTATTCTTATGAATTATTATTGGTAGGTATTCTGGAAAAATTACTGAACAATCGATTCACTGGTTTATTACACAAACTCTCTTATTCACTATACCTGGTCAATTTTACCGCAATAGTAATGGTTCAGTTTTCTGTACGGGCACCCAAAGTTTGGTCATTCAAATAAATATATTATAAATATTAAATATATTATATAAATATATTCGAATGAAATATATGTGTAATTAATCAAGCTAGGATTCATTATTTTGATCAAAATTATGTTATTAACTAGTGTAAGAAACCGCTTTTTTAATATATTTTTTAATTTTAGGTAATGATAACAACTTATACGATTTTAACGACATATTTAGCGGCTCTAATAATGCATTTCCTTGTTGACGCGCCGTTTGGTTTATTGATAAACAGAGTTTTTTTGGGAAGGTATGCGAAATTCATTAAGCGCCCATGTATTATTATAATATTATATAAATTTAATTGGTTTTTTTTTTTTGCAGAACTAGCACAAAATCTAAAGACGATTGATACCAGAGAAATTCAAAATATGAAACAAGCAAAATTACATGGCAAACTTATAAATATACCATACTAAAAATAAACTTTCTTTACATTTATTTAATGTTATAACTTCAGGTGGTTGAAACTATTTATTGTATAATTAATTAAACATTTTGAATTTGTGAAGTTGGTATTCTTAACCGTAAACTTCGTAACAGTTAACTTCGTAACTTATATAATTATACACTTTAAAATGTTGTATTAATTTATTCTATTTTTTGAAAGTGTAGTACTGATTTAAAAAGTTTTTCAGCCGAGTGTGCAACCACGAAAGATCATTTACATGTCTTGTTGAAGTACCGAGATAAATTTAGAGTAGTGGTGGAATTTTAAGATGCAGTAACAAGCTAGTATATTAAAACATCAAGTTTCTGGCTAATATTGTAGTGTTTAATATTTGGCTTAAAACAATTCATAGAGAATTTGGGCCCTTAAACTGTTTTGAATTTATTATTTAGCTCTAATTACGGCAGATCTTTCATACCACCTTCCATTTAAAAAAAAAAGAATACCTAATTTTCTAAGATGAAACGGTAAGTGGTCATTGTTGTGTTTTATTTCAGGTCCGAATAGTTTTACCATTTTCTTTTATTAGTTGTTTATTTATGATCACACGTAGTCTGTCTAATTTTCCATTTACTGTTTATCCATTGATCGACACGGGGGATCCCAATATTTTAAATCAAACTTCTAGTGAAGCTCTAATAGGCACTACAATGAGTGAAAAAATGAGTTTAGGGGACGCACTGAAACTTACACCTAAGTTCAGTGGCGGGACCGAATCAGAGTTAGCCACTTTTGAGGCTCAATATGAATTTGTGTTAGGTAACGTTGCTGATGCTAATAAAGGTATCGTTCTACAAGCAATCATCGCGCAGCTATCGGGAAAAGCACATGAAGCCATCCGTTACAGGGAAATAGGAAATTGGAAAGAACTTAAGGTTCATTTTCGATCTATTTTCGGCACAACTCACTCAGTTTCTTATTTACAAATGCAATTAAGTGCTATGCGACAAAAAGAAGGCGAACCAGTCAAGGAATTTTCAGGCCGCATTGAAAAAACTTACCATGAATTAACTAATGCTCTAACGTCGGGTAAAACCAAGAAAGAATCTCAAATAATTGCCCAAACCGTACAAGCCCACGCACTAAGTGTTTTTGTCACGGGTGTTAAATTTTCCATTAGCATTATTTTAAAGGCTCGGGACGTCGACTCTTTTGAGTGAGCCGTCTGTCTCGCAATTGAAGAAGAAAAATCGCAAGACCATTCTGGTAATTGGAGGACTAGTAACAAAATTAATAAAAATAATAACTACAAAGCAACCGACAAACAATCCGTTAAGTACCATCGATGCAATAGGTTTGGACATACCAGTGTTGAATGTAGAACCAGTTTTAACAAAATATAAAATTTTCGAAATCCGACTGTCAATAATGGGTCAAAAGTCCAAGTGAAAGAAGAATATCAAGGGAATAGCGTTCAATTTTGCAAATATTGTAAAAAGAACAACCACGATATTAGTGAATGCAGAAAGCGAATGTACAACGAAAATAAAAAGCAAAACGGTGAAGGTTCTAATTCTAATAAAACGGAAAATAGATCAGTAGAAGAAATTAAAAATAATTATGTCCGAGTAATTACTCCACTTGAAGAGGAACATATTAGTTGCCAATCTAACGATTTTGAGAACAATGAAATAAAATTACTTATTGACAGCGGTGCAGAAATGAACGTCATAAAATTTTCTGCGTTGAAAGGCCACGTTCGTGTTGACTAGACCCAAAAACGAAGAATAAAAGGAATTAGTAACACTTAAATATAGTCGGAACAATTCAAGTATCATTAAAAATTAAAAATGGAATATTCAATGTCATTGAATGAATTCGATGTAGTGTTCGATCATTTTCCAATACTAGAAGCTGGTATTCTGGGGCGCACATTTTTAAGAACGCATAAAGTAGTTTTGGATATGTCTCAAGATGTACTTATTATACCCGAAGTCGAGTCGCTCATAAGACCAAAACCATTTATCATTCCGGCACGGAGTAATTGTGTGCTGTTAATTAAATCGGACGAGTTCATCAACCATAAACTTGTGACAGTAAAGAAACATGAAATAAATGAGGACGTTATTATAGCCAATAGTATTAGCCCAGTCCGAGGTAATAAAATAATCAGTAACATAGTAAATATTTCCGAGCAACCGTTTTCCATCGAACAATTGACGACAAGTAATTTAGAATGGGAACCTTATACAGAACAAATATTACACATTGAAGAAGAAAACGACTTACCAAATAACAAACTAATATTAAATAAGCTAATATTATTATTTTAACACAACCGAGTAACAAGTGGCTAACATTGGTGATATTACTGTCGCGTTAGAATTCTATTCAACTACTAACTACCGTCTACCCGGCACCAATCCCAGTAGGCGCCCCGTGTACTTAGAAAATGATGCAAAGATAGTTAGAATGGGATCGAGATGATGAAATGATAAGTAACTAAGTACACGGACACGCCCTACGTGGGAACGTGCCGGTTAAAGCTAAACCCTATCGTCACGTAGGTTTACTACAGTAGGAATAAGGTATCAAAAAAGTACCCTGACCGATCATAAGTAAACTTCATAACGAATTAAAATATGTTTTCAAATTACTTATCGGATTACTGGTTCAGCCTGTGCGATGAAACAAAAAATGTGTGTTACATTAACTAAAATGGTTTTTACTCATAGACGAAATAATTTAAATTAAAAATAATACCTTGAAGCTAATACAAATTACCCGTAAATTAATTGACATGATCAAAATTTATTGAAACCACTTTTTTCTTAAATATTGCCTATACAAAACTCCTTAAAAACCAACCGCATACAATTCCCTTAAAGCACTCAAATTCTAAATCTTTAAACATTAATAACTCACCAATGCATTATGCTAATTAAACATTTTTTTGGCCAAATTTTTAATTTTTAAGTTCTGGACCATAATTTAAAAAAAAAACATATCATCCCATTTGAAAATCAAAAGCTGCTCTCAAAAAAACAAATTTGGGAGAGGGTAGAAACATACAAATTTGTGGAAAATTGAGATCACATACAAGAACACTATGAAAAAAAAAATTCAATTATTAATTAAACCCAGCAAACTGGTTGACTGGCTCATGATAAAAAAATCACCCTGTATAGTCTGGGTAAATAGTTTTTACCCAGACTATACAGGGTGATAATACAGTCTTAATAATATTCAACTCTGCCTTTATAAACGTCTTGAATCAGTCACAACAACGTTTTAGGGATGATATTTTAACATATTATAAAAATGCCATGTATTTATTCTTATACAATCATTTCAACTGAATTAGGTCACCAGAGAGATATTATATTTACGAACTTTCAAACCGTGACCTCGTGAAAATATTTTGCAGCGAGGGACTGTAGGAAAATGTGCATTTGATTAAATTACACAAATAGTAATAAATCAATTAATTTTTAATTTAATATAAAGGCATAAACACATAAATATAAAGGAAATAAAAATAAAAAGTTTAATATCTACCTATATAATTAAAAACTCTACGTTATTAGTTCCCAGGCAAATGTAAAATTATATATTAAAAAAAAGAAACAATGGTATAACTTATTTGAATGTTTGAACTGTCATTGAAATTAAAACTTTATAGTTTATTCAATTATAATGATTTCCGTAGATCAACGCATTTGATTTTTTTAAATTAAAAACAGAAAATTAATACAATTATAGAAAAATAAGTAGTAGAATAATCAAATAAATATTACTGCCCTGACTTAAAATTATAACACATACTACATAGATAGCTTAAGGCATTCATTTGCAAATCTCAGTGTAGATGACACAGATACTCAAAATGTTTCGAGCGTGGGCGTTGTTAACGTTTATTTTGCCTATTGTAGTATTTTCCAGTGAAATCGCTTTTGATGGTCTAAATGTTTCTACCGATACAAAACACCCAGTTTTACAGAATACGATTAATTCAGAATTGGTCGACAGAAATGCCACGAGACTCGAGCCGGTTTATCCTAAGATTTGGTTAGCCGATCTCTTTTATCAATCATTGGTTGGGTTTTCCGTCACAGATGTTGGAAGTTCCGCATGTCGACTGCAATCAAAATTGTACTTAAGCCATTTAAATAATAACTCCTACTGGGCAGTAAAAAGTAAGCGATGGTCAATGACCAAGTAACTATAAGTCTATATTATAGTTTAAATCTAGTCGATATCTTTAATAATAAACTGGTCAGAAGAAGCATAACAAAAAATAACATGTGTTATTTGCCAATTAAATCATTGTCCTTAACAACAGAATTAAAAACAACAAAGTCCTATGCATTTTTCTACTACCATCTCTTTCGCCTATAGCCATATTTTTTTTTTTTTTTTTTTTTATTAAAATCATCATAACTTACAAAATTTCAGTATATAAAAACTGTTTATCTATCTGTTTTAAGCTAAAAGCTTGTGTTAGAGATAGAGAGTTATAGAACTTAACTAAAATGTATGTGCATGTATAGCAAATAAACAACAAAAAAGAGAAACAAGAAATACATTTATATATACTCTATTGTATAATCCTTAACATAATTTTAACATAAAAATTTCTAACACTGAACTTTATAGTGTCCGACTCATGGCCTAGATACCTGAACGGATTATTAATAGGAAACACACATCACATGGGCGTTTATGACGAGTGCATCAGTGTGCACCAGCCTATTCAAGGAAAATATTGTATGTCAACAATAGAACTTCAGACTTCATCAAACGAAAACTTCACCCAGTACAGTAAAGATGAGTACGCAAGTTTTGATAACGCATGGCAAGAAATACTCGGGGTAAATATAATTCTTTATATTACGTAAATTTAACAAAAAATTTAATAAGCAAATACCACAGGTTAATAACTAAAAAATACAAGAATCACCGTTTATGATATCAGAAATAACGATAATAGTTTATTTATTAATTGACCATAATATATTTGGTGTTAATACTTCCTTTTAGCACCCATCAGTATTCATCTCGTTTCTTTTTGTTAGTGACCAAGTATCATATACGTTAGCCTGAATTACATTCGCTTATACTTTAAATACTACTGAATACTTTTTCTTCTAAAATGTCTTAATACATTTTACTTATTTTAATTAACAGTTTATCGATTATGGTGACCTGTACAAAAGAAATGTTATCAATCTTGGCGTCTGTATACCAGAAGCGTGTACATCCGCAGATCTTGAAATTTCATTACAAAGAGAACTGGATAGTATATTCCTGTCTCATCAACTAAAAGCGCAAGTCAAAGTTAAACCGGATTTATGTAACACTAACAAGCATTTTTTCCCTTACGACACAGGATATTATGTAACATGGTAAGCATGATAGAAAAGCTAAGAAGATTCTCCCATCAGAATTTTAAACAAATTAAAAAAATCTCTAAATATCCTTAAAATACAAATACGTTAAGGTACTTTTTTTGGGGAATTGGCTCAAAAAGTTATTTTAGATTTTACTTTACATCTAAACAGGACATAATTTAAAATCTTTGTCGATTTCACTACTATATCGCCTTGATTTATCTAATCCATACATTTATTTTAAACAGCTTTTTAATATGTAAATGTATTAAATACTCGGTATATTTTTCGTTTAGCGGGTTTTTTGGCTTGCTGATTTTGATTGTATCATTTTCGACGACTTATCATTTAGTAGCCCTACGCAATGGTCGTGAAAACCAACCGTGTAAGTATAAGAATTGAAAATAAATGCTAATTCTTTTGTATTAAATACTATTATTTAAATAATATAATATATAATAATATATTTAAGAATTTTTTGGTTTGCCAATGTTTATTACTACGTTTAAAGAAATTTAAAAATTATTTGGATCATATTTGACTATTTTAAAAAAAATTGTAGTGCGTCGTAATTGTAAGTTGAAAAATATGGTAATTTGTTTGGTAAATATTAAAGAGGTGAGTGACTTTTTTAAATTATTGGCCCAATAAAGTGGTCCAGACACATAAATAATGTAAAACACATCATTGTAAAACAATACCTTCTCAACCTATAAGTAAACACAACTACTGTCTCTTAGAATCAGTAATTAAATACTCAGTTTAGACAAAATATACTTAAAAAAAAATATAACGAACTACTGACTATATAATGTAACATAGAAAAACATATGAATCTTTCTTTTTTATATTTGTTCGAATAATTATTGAATATAATGTTTTCGTCCATGTTTTATTCCAGCGCAAAATTTGGAAGTACTAAATATGTTTTCGGTAATAAAAAATGGAAATAATCTTACCAAATATAATAAGAACAATGAGCTCAATATTTTTAATGGTTTGGTGTCAATCCAAATGATGTTGATCGTAGTAGGCCATGGGCGTCTAATTGATATCAACCTACCGCTATTGTACCCGAAACTAACTGAAGAGGTAAAACGTTTTTTTTCTTTTATTATCATTTATCGCATACAACATGCTATTTAAAATCGGTTTTATTGACATTTTTATGTCTTTGCTATGGCACACACACGGAAAAACGACACCGACGCCGGTTATCATAACGAAAAATAACAGCTGATTTATCTAATAGGAGAGATAAGAGATAAAGAAAGGAGATAGGGGTTGAGGTTTGTGGGTAAGAGATAGGGGGAAGGGGTAAGAGATAAGTGCAAAATCATATAGTGCAATATACCTTATCCCATCCTTTCATCAACCAATGATGAAAACATACTAATGATGTATCACTTTATGTGTATTTCAGTTTTTTCAAGATACCCACCACAATTCTTTTTTATTTTGGCATAATTCAGTTGACTCTTTTATATTTGTGTCTGGTTACTTATTATACATGACAACCATAAATAAGTTCAGAAAATCCGGAGATAATTGGTTTCTGATTCCAAAGATAATTATGTACAAGTATCTAAAGTAAGCAATGCCCTATTTGTTGTGATTGATTCTTTACAATTTTCGATTAAAATTACTAATGTCTGATAATTATTCCAGATCACTACCGGTTCATGTCACAATGATAATTCTTACAATATTTATTGTCCCCCATATGGGAGGTGGACCTTTTTGGGCAAACAAAATGGGTATGGAAGCAAACAAATGTAAACAATATTGGTGGACTAATCTATTAGTTATAAATAATTTTGTCGATGGAGAAAAACAAGTGAGTATCAAAATCTAAATTTTACTGAAATAAAAGAGAATATTTGTATAACAACTATAGTGACTGGTGTTTTAGTGTCTCTACGCCGGTTATTTCATTTCATTACAACTACAGTTGATGGTTATTGGAATTATCGTCGTTTACATTTATGGAAAAAACCGTAAAATCGGCAATGTTGTAATAGCCTTGCTGATTACCGTATCATTAATCATTCCGTTTGCTATAACGTACTACTCGAAATCAGAAGGAATTACTAAATTCAATATATCGTTAGTATTTTCTAATAATTTTAGCAATAGAAGTGTTTAACTGTTTTAGACGAAAATCCATTCGTGGACACAGGAGTACACAGTGCGTACTCTTATTAGCAAGGCAACGTTCACGTTATTACATTTTTACCTTTTATAGATTTACGTTAAAAATATTTCAATCAACTAGTTCAGCCTCATATCATTTCACGTACCTATACAGCCGATTCTATGTACGGGGTTTACCATTTTATATTGGACTGTTAGCTGGTGATATTGTCGAAGTTTTAAAAAAAAAACAAGTCAAAATGTCTAAGGTAATTGCATAACTCTACAGATTACAATTGTTATCAATAAAAAAAAATACTTTTCAGGCAACTACCCTTATTACTTTTCTGGTAGCTTTTGGTCTTTACATATATGTCCAATTGTACAGTATTGTATTCTTTAAAAGACACAGGGATTACAATGCAATTGAGTCATCTATTTATTCAAGCATTAACCATCTAAATACGCCCTTATTTTACATGTGGATCGCTATCTGTTACACTACTTCTAGTTATAGTAAGTAATATCGATGAAATATTTTTTTCACAGCAATTATCAACTATAAACTTACTTTTGCACGCAGATTTAACCACTCAAATATACCCTTTAAAAGAGTAATTCATTTTCTCCATCATCTCTCTTATGCATTTTACAACACTTACTTCGATAC